CATCGTGATTATCTGGGTCATGAAGATCTTTTTTGTACAGTTCTTCTGTGTATTCTTGCCACCTCTTCTTAAAGTCTTCTGCTTCTGTTAGGACCATACCATTTCTGTCCTTTATTGAGCCCATCTTTGCATGAAATGTTCCCTTGGTATCTCTAATTTTCTTGAAGAGATCTCTAGTCTTTCCCATTCTGTTGTTTTCCTCTATTTCTTTGCGTTGATCACTGAGGAAGGCTTTCTTATCTCTCCTGGCTATTCTTTGGAACTCTGGATGATTACCCACTAAATAATTTTCCAAATGATTGACATTCTGAAAACCTGTATCCCTGTGTGAGGAAATCTCCAGCTGACCCTGAGTTGAGTAAGCGAGAATAAGCTTTCATTGTTTTAAACCACTAAGGATTTGGAGTCTTTTGTTACCACAGCAAAACCTTGAGGACCCTGACAGGTAAAATGTGACTGGAGAAAACCCAGCAAAAGGGTGAGCTCTGAACTGAAAGGTGCAGGGCCAAAAAGTCATCTTGTAAGGACGTGGAGATAAATGCTTTCTGGGACACATTCAGGATACATACATCTATAGTCATGTATATTCATTATTTTCATTTTGTGCTATAATTTTTCATATCTCAGAATTATGCTAGTCTTTAAAAATGGGTAGACAAATATTGTGAGCTCTTTACCCCTAAGCTTTTGAAGAAAAAAATGGACAAAAGGATGATCGGTGCCTTCATTAATTTTTTAAGTTCACCTTTTAGTCTAAAATCATTTTGATCAGAAGTATTTCACTTGCAAGTGAAAGATTCCTCAATTAAACTAGAAAGAAAAAAAAAGAAGGGAGAGAGAGAGAGAAAGAAAGAAATCTATTGCTTCATATATAGGAAGGTCAGGAGTAGCACCAGGGAGTCAATGCTGGGAGCTTTCTCTTTTCTTTCTCTTTTAATTCCATGTCTGCATCTGAGTTCTATGTCTGCATATGTGCCTGTCTCTCCCAGGCTCCCTCTCTCAGTCAAAGAGATTCTGACTGGGTTTCTGCCTGTCCTGGGTCACCTTGGCCCTTCCCCTCATCCTTTTCTCTCCCTCTCTTTCTTACCTTTCACAGCAGATGGGCTTAATATATATGGGAGGGAGTTGCTGCAACCCCAGGCAGTTATAGGCTTACATCATCACCATTTAGCAACCAGGAAGAAGAGAACTTTCTCCACAGATGTGAATACAAAACTAGTGGGAAAGTCTTTAATTAACTCTATCTGGGTCACGTGCCCACCTTGGATACTTTTATACAAGGATATACACAAATATGGGCTTCGGCAGTGGCTCAGCAGTAAAGAACCCACCTGCAGTGCAGGAGATATAGGAGACCCGGGTTCAATCCCTGAGTCAGAAACATCCCCAGGAGGAGGGCATGGCAACCCCCTCCAGTATTCTTGCCTGGAGAATCCCAGGGACAGAGGAGCCTGGTGGGCTACAGTCCATGGGGTTACATAGAGTAGGACACAACTGAAGCAATTGAGTATGCACACATGCTCATACCCAAATATGGGTCAGCATGACTGGTTTACTTCTGTGGCCAGCAATCCATGTACCACAATATCTCACTATCGGAATATCATATAATTGAGGTGATGGAGGAGCGACCCCCCTAAAGGAAGGAGTGGTACTGATTGATAAAAGAAACAGAAGAGAGAGAAAGATAACAAGGAGAGACAGAATTCTTAGGCAAATAAACAGTAGATACACAACCTTCCCCCCCCCCCAAAAAAAAATGGGCTCAGCTTTTTGGGGAATATTTTGGCCACCTGATGTGAAGAACTGACTCATTGGGAAAGACCCTGATGCTGGGAAAGATTGAGGGCAGGAGAAGAAGGGGATGAGAGAGGATGAGATGGTTGGATGGCATCACCTGCTGATGGACACGAGTTTGAGCAAGCTTCAGGAGTTGGTGATGGACAGGGAGGCCTGGTGTGCTACAGTCCATGGGGTCGCAAAGAGTCAGACATAACTGAGTGACTGAACTGAACTGCACTTTTGGGGAATAAATCTTTGGCAACCTTTTCCAACTCTGTCCCTGGTCATCGGTCTGTATGGATTTTCTGAACTCCACTTGAGTCAATTTTGATAATTTATATTTTTATTAGAAAGTCACTTATTTCATGTTGATTCACCAATGTATTGCAAAAAATGAAAAGGATTTTCCTTCTAATGTCCATCAAAATGAAAGCCATTGGCATAATGGCAAGGGCAATTGCGTACAAGCAATTCTCTGGGGAACTAAATCAACAGAATTCTATTCTACAGCTCTCTCTTGGTTTGGTTAATCCAAGAAGAAAATTGAGTGTGTCTAGAGAATAGATGGACTACATATCCTTCAGGCAATTCTCCATATATATTAATTTTCACAGCTGAGCTTTTGATAGGTACTGGGCAGCAGAGATGTCTAGGTTAAAACTCCTGACAACTTGGAGTACAGATTATTTTACAATGCTCAGTTTTGTATGTTTCATTGGTCAGTCAAAATGGAGCAAGTTAATATGCTCTTATGATAGTTGAGCCATCACTAGGACACATGTCTGAAGAGAGGAACCCTCACAATCTTAAAAAGGTAGGTCCATGGAATACGTTCCCATGGACTGGCCGGGCTTTTCTCAGACCAACTGAACAGCTGAACAAAACACAAGAAAGAACAACAGACGGCATTCTGTGAGAACGTGGAAACAGCCGGTGTGATGTCATCAGAAGGTATGGATGGCTTCCCTGGTGGCTCAGTGGTAAAGAATCCACCTGCCAATGGCAGGGACACGGGTTCAATCCCTGATCTGGGGAGACCCCCCATGCCACAGGCAGCTAAGCCCATGTGCCACAACGACTGAGCCCACACGCCTACTGAAGTCCAAGCACCCTAGAGCCCATGCTCTGCAACAAGAGAAGCCACTGGAATGATAAGCCCGTGCACTGCAGCTAGAGAGCAGCCCCCACTCGCCACAACTAAAGAGCGCTTGCAGCAACAAAGACCCAGCATAGCCAAAATTATAGAAATAAAATTATTAAAAAAAAAAAAAGACGGCATGGATACAGCAAGTGGGAAAGAAAATTGTCATATGGGTTTCACCACAAAAGCGGCTATAGAGATGGACATTATAGGATGGGAGGGACTTCAAAAAGTGGAAGGTACACAGGGGGCAATAGAGAACTTAAGGAATGAGCATGCCTCATGAAAAATATGTCTTTACAGTTTAGGGAGTGGCTGAAGGGGTAAAACAAAGGTTGGATCAAAAGACGAAGCAGCCACTGTGATGTATGAAGGTCCAAGCTAAACACTCGATGATGGTGGACAGTGGCCCCGAGAGACAAAAGGCCCATGCTCAAGCTGAGCTCCTAGCTGAAGTCAGTCACATGAATTACCCCAAATACGTCCAAAGAAGCAGAGCAGAAGTGCAGGTGTGCCCAGCCTGAATGCAAAGCAACGCTAAGAAATAATAAACTGTTGTGGTTCTAAGCTACTACATTAGGATGTGGCTTGTCCTTTTAGGTATATAGTCAGGTATGGAACAGCTTGCCCAGTCTGGTGCTACCCTTATCCTGAGTAGTGTAGTATATAACCCTTATACTAATATAAATTAGCATTCTGAATGTAAATCATCCTTCACAAAGGACCATGAATTTCTTCTTCTTTGAGAAGGAAGAGTACAGAGGTCCACGGAGTATTGAACAAAAGAGTAAATTTAATACCAGGAAAGTTACTTATACTGTGTCTATTAACATTCATCTTGTGTGTGCTTTTTTCTCTTCCACCATAAGATAAACTCTTTCCTTTTATTAGGGTTTCGACAGTGCTTTAAATTACCGTCTAGATGTTCAAAATCCAAGACTCTACCTTTTTCTCATGAATATGTCCATAATGACTGACAATTACACGAGTAACTCACCCACATGCGTTTATCTCAGAGGTTCTGAAAGCCCACCCCACTGACTATGTAACCTTCTTGCATCCATTCTTCAGTGTAGTCAATTTGGAGGATTTAATTTGGTGAAATATCTGTGAAATATTTGCGAAAATTTAGACAGCAATTTGACATATCATGGAAAGTTCATCACAGTAACTTATTCCTTGATTCCACTTTCCCCGACAATGGGAGAAAAAGCACCCTGATTCTTTTCTTATGCCACTTTCCTCTAAGCAACCCTTCTTTCGCTTTCACATCTAGATAATTCAACCTTTGACAGCAACTTGCTCTGTCTAATATTGTCTCAAAAGGCAGAATCAGTTGTTCTTTCCACTGGTTCTCCCAGCCTTTTAAATGCACTTCTGTGGCAGGGAACTGCATTTTATCAAACTACTTCTGTATGCATCTCTCTCACTGTGAGGACAGGTCCAGTTATCACTTTTATTTTCCCAGTTCCAGGATCAGCACACTGCAAATAGCAGAGACTTGATAATTCTCAGAAGAACTGAAATGAAATGTCAAAACTAAAAATGTTCCCCCATTTAACAGAATGTAAATAAACTTAAATGGAAGAAAATAATCTCATGATTAATTTTGGCAGAATCTTTCAGTCATGTCCAACTCTTTGCAACCCTGTGGATTGTAGCCCGCCAGGCTCCTCTGTCCAAGGAATTCTCCAGGCAAGTATACTGGGATGGGCTGCCATTTCCTTCTCCAGGGGATCTTCCCAACTCAGGGATCAAATTCGGGTATCCTGAATTGCAGGTAGATTCTTTACTGTCTGAGCCACCAAGGAAGCCCCTTTTAGAAAGACATGGTTTGTGAAATGATGGCGAATAAAGGAAAAAATCAGAACCAGAGCAGCTCATATAAACATGTAAAAATCATCATTAATTCTAAAAGATAATAATGCAGTGATAGCACAATTGCTTTTCTAGCTTTCTAGTGTCCTCTAATTCTTCTGAAACTTTATATTTGGTTTATAATTTGACTCTAGAAACAATTATTATGTTCCAAGTCAAGATATTATCTAAGACAATAAGGAAATCCTTCATCATTAATCTCAAAACCAGGTCTTAGATATAGCAGGAGAGTGAAAAAAAGGGAAAACAAAAATTTTACCAGTTAATGTTCTACTTTTTTTACTTAACTTTATGGCCACAGAGGAAATAGAGGTAATTCAGAGGCTAGAAAGAACTATTACAAAATTCCAATTAATGCCATCAGATAATTTGGGAGGTATTACACTCACTGAAACAAGAACAGATGTCAATAAAAAGAGCAATCAGAGAAATTTCTGGAACAGAGCAGCTCTGCCAGTAATTTCAAAACCTTCCTGTCTGTAGCACCCAAATTAGAAGCCGTTTCCAGAAATATCCTCCACCGGTGGTGCAGAACAGCCATGTTAAACTAAGATGAGATCTGACATTGATTTATTTGCTATCTATCTTTTTAATCAAGTTTATTGAAGCATAATTTGCACATGATAAACTACATTTATTTTAAGTACGTCATTAAAAGTTTTGACAATTTATAACTACCACAATTTGTAACCACCACCCTAATCCAGATATAGAACAGTTCCTCACCCAAAATTGTTGTGGCTCTTTACGGTCAACCCCATCTCACTCCCAGCCCTAGGGAAACACTTCTTTGCTTTCTGTCCCAGTAGGTTACTTTTTTTCTGTTTTGGCTGCAACACGGGGCATATAGGATCTTAGTTCCCTGACCAGGAACCCATGCCCCTGCATGGGAAGTGTATTGTCTTAACCACTGAACCACCAAGGAATACATTTTACATTTTCTAGAACATCAAGTAAACAGAATCACACAGAATGTCCTCTTCTTTGGCTTCTTCCCTGCATATAGGATTTCTGAAAGTCTTCCATGTCTTGTTCCTTTCTCTTTATCACTGAGCTATATTTTGCTTACAGCAGTTTGAGTGTTCATTCACTTCTTGATGGACCTTAGAGTTGCTTCCAGTTTGCTGCTATTATGATAAACAGCTGCTTTGAGCTCATGATTAAGGCTTTGTGTTGACATATATTTTCATTTATTTCAGGTAATGTTCACACATGGAATTGCTGGATAATATAACTGCATGTTTAACTTAAACCACAACACTGTTTTCCAAAGTATGTGTACCATTTTATACTCCTTCCAGCAAGGTATGAGTTACAGATGCTCCACATCTTTGCCCACACTTGGTATTATTAAACTTTTTCATTTTTTTAAGCATACTAGGGGGTCACTAGTGGTATATCACTGTTTCAGTCTGCATCATTCTGATAACTAATAATGCTGAGCATCTTTTTGTGTGTTTATTGGCCCTTTGTATTTCTTTTCTTGCCAAGTATCTGTTCAAATCTTTTGCTCATTTATTATTGGGTTGATTATTTTCTGATTTTTGCATTGGGAGAATTCTTTATGTGTTCTGGATGCCAAAAAATTCCAGAAAAAGGATGAAAGGACTTTTTCATATGTATGTAAGGATAAAATTTCTTTTAGTCTGTGGCACACCTCTCATTTCCTTTACCTCTCATTTTAAAGATTAAAAGGTTTTAATTTTGATGAAGTCTAACTTATTTTTTTTAAAGATTTTAAATTTGTTCTATCTAAAAAACTATAGTCTACTCCAAAATTACATAGATTGTCTCTTAGACTTTGCTCTAAAGTCTTACAGTTTTGGCTTTTGCATTTAGGTCTGTGATCCATTTCAAGATGATCTTTGTATAGAGTGTGAAGTACATGCCAAGAGTCGTTTTATTCCAGGTGGATATCCAATTATCTCAACATACTTTGTTAAGAATATTACTTTTTGATTCACTGAATTACCATGAAATCTTATCAAAAATAAATTAATGTGTACATTTTTTTCTGGACTCACTATTTTATTCCATTGATCTACACAGTGTATGTCTACACTGATGATAAAATTCATTACCTTAACTTCTATAACATTATGACTCCTTGAAATTAGATAGCATAAGTTTTCTAACTTGATTCTTCTTTTTCAAATTGTATTAAACATTCTTGATCTTCTGTATTTCCATAGAAATTTGCCAATATCTATGAAAGAAAGGCTATGGGAATTTTGAATGGGACTATGTTAAATCAATGGCTTCCCAGGTGGCTCAGTGGTAAAGAATCCACCTGCCAGTGCAGGAAACACAGGAGATAGGGGTTCAATCCCTGGGTCAGGAAGATCCTCCGGAGTAGGATATGGCAACCCACTCCTGTAAACTTGCCTGGAAAATCCCATGGACAGAGGAGCCTGGAGGGCTACAGTCAATGGGGTTATAGTTGGACATGACTGAGCATGAGAGATATTATGCTAAATCAATAGAACAAGTCAGGGAATTATGAAATTTTAATAACACTGATGCCTCTAATCCATGAACCTAATATGTACATTCCTATTTGTTTAGATCTGTTTTAATTTTCCTCTGTAATATATGGTAATGTTCTATATGCAGCTATTCAATATATTTTGTTAAATTTACTATAAGGTATTTTATTTTTATGCCATAAAAGAGTATGTGTTTTAATTTGATTTCCCAATTGTTTGTTGTTAGTATTAAAAGCTTCGAAAAAGTTTTGCATATTGAACTTATCTTATCTGGCTAAATTCACTTACTAGTTCTAGCAGTTTTTTCACAGATTCATTGGGGTTTTTACATATACTATCATATCTTCTACAAATAAAAAGATTTACATCTTTCCTTCCAATCTATACACCTGTTATTTGTTTTTCTTGAATGTTGCAACTGCTATGATTGCCAGGAAAATGTTGAAAATGTTTTATTGAAGCAGTGAAAGCATGTACTCCTGCCTGTTCCCAATCTTATAGGAAAGGTATCCAGTATTTCACTACTAAATATGATATTAGTTGCAGGTTCTTCAGACTCCCTTCATCAGACTGAAGAAGTATTCTACTTCTAGTTTCCCAGGGATTTTTTTAGATCATTAATTGAAAGTGAAAGTGAAAGTCACTCAGTCGTGTCCTACTCTTTGCAACCCAATGGTCTATACAGTCCATGAAATTCTCCAGGTCAGAATACTGGAGTGGGTAGCCTTTCCCTTCTCCAGGGGATCTTCCCAACCCAGGGATCAAACCAAGGTCTCTCACATTGCAGGCAGATTCTTTACCAGCTGAGCCACAAGGGAAGTCAAAGTGTTGAATTTTTCAAAATACTTTTACTGCACCTATGGAGATAATAATATTTTCCCCTTTTATTATTCTTTTAATTATATTTCAATTACATTAATTGATTGTTGAATGCTAAACCCATTTTGCATGTCTTGGATAAATCTAATTTGGTCATTAGACTTACATTACATTTGGTCATATAAATTTGAGTTATCCTATTTATATATTGCTAGATCTGATTTGCTAATACTTTGTTAAGAACTTTTCTGTCTGTGTGCCTAAGGAATAATGGTCTTATCTTTTAATATTTTTATTCTCTCTTAAATTTTTGGTAGAATTCACTAGTAAGTCCATCCGAGACTAGTTTTCTTTGTGAGAAGGCTTCTAATATAAATTCAAATTATTCAAAAGATAAAATGCTATTCAGATTTTACATTTCTTTTTGCATCCATTTTGATTATTTGTGACTTTCACTTATCTCCATCTTCACTTACCTCAATTTGAATTATGTATTTTTATCCACTTTGTTTATTTTATCTGCTGCAAATGTGTAACAATTTCTGTAGGATATATACTTAGACATGAAATTTAGGGCTTTGCTTGTCCTTTCCACTGTATCTTTATTTTCTTTTACATTAATTTCTGATTTTATTTTTATATTTTGCTTTGTTTGGATTTCTTTTGGTTTATTCTGTTTTTCCTAACTGTATGCTTTGCTTATTGATTTTCAACCTATATTCTTTTTCTTAAAAAAAAAAAAGCCTTTATTACTATAAATTTCCCTCTAATACTTTTCTTACCCATCCCTCAAATTTCATTCTTAGTATGTTTACTTTCATTAAGTTCTAAATATATTTTAATCTTCATTATTATCCTTTTTTGACTTAGAGTTATTTAGAAATACATTTTTAAACATTCAAAATTGTGGAGTTTTGCATTTTTTTATACTATTATTTTGATTGTATGTGAGATTGCATTATTGATAGAAAACATGAGCTATATGACACATAATCTTTGAAATTTGTTAAGGCTTGTTTTATGACCTAGTACATGGTCAGGTTTGTTTGTTTTAATGTTTCTTATATTCTTCAGTATAATATGCATTCATTAATCAGTGGTTTTAGAAACATAGTTCTATATATATCTATTAACTCAAAGTTATTAAATATGTGATTCATCTTCCATAATTCATTAAATATTTGGTCTACATGACCATCAATAATTGACATTCGTGTATTGAAATATTCCATTTGAATATCACATTTGTTCAGTTTTCATATAGTTTTATCAATTCTGTTCTATATATTTTGAAGCTTTATACATTTTATATTGTACTTCACATATTTTATTGTAAATTTTAGAATTATGAGAACTTCCTGCTGAAATAATCCTTCTATTATTATGTTATGATTCCCTTATCCTTAACAATATGTTTTGTTTTAAATAATATAACTACAGAAACCTGAACTTTCTTTTGGTTAGTATATTCCTGGTATAAATCTTTTAAAAATTCTTTTAGTTCTTTTACTTTTCTTTAATTTTAACTTTCAACCTTTCTTAGTCCCTATGTTTCAGATGTTTCTTATAAACATGCAAATGGATTTTGCATTTTTTAGATCTAGCAATCTCTTTTAGCTGATGAATTCAGATGACTTACAGATACCGTTAACTGGACTTGTTCCTATCATCTTGCTTTTTCTACTGAACTTTTTTATGTTTTATTTATTCTTTCCTTGAGCAAATTGTTGGTTTGCTCTCATTTAAAAATAAAAAAGTAATAAAATACATAACAAAATTTCCATTTTAACCCTTTTTAAGCGTACACTTCGGAGGCATTAGTTACGCTCACAGTTTTGCGCAGCCATTGCATGCATGTGCATAGTCACTCATTCATGTCCAACCTTTTGCGACCCCATCGACTGTAGCCCGCCAGGCCCCTCTGTCCATGGGATTCTCCAGGCAAGACTACTGGAGAGGGTTGCCATGCCCTCCTCCAGGGGATCTTCCCAACCCAAGGATCAAACCCAGGTCTCCCACATTGCAGGCGGATTCTTTGCCATCCAAGCCACCAGGGAAGCCCAAGAATACTGGAGTGGGTTGCCTATCCCTTCTCCGGGGAACTTCCCAACCCAGGAATCAAACCGGGGTCTCCTGCATTGCAAGCAAATTCTTTTATCAGCTGAGCTACCAGAGAAGCGCCTGTACAACCAATACCACTATCTATTTCCAAAACTTTTTCATCAGCCCAAACGAATTCTGTAACAATTAAGCAATAAATCGCTCATTCCTCTCATTCCCCGGCCCCTGGTAACATTAATCTACTTCTGTCTCTATGAATTTGCCTATTCTTGGTACTTCACACAAATGCACTCATATAATCCTTGTCTTTTTGTGTCTGGTTTATTTCACATAGTGTAAAAATGCCAAGATTCACTCAAGTTGCAGCATATAGTGGAACTTCATAATATTCCACCATATGTATGTACCATAATTTGCTTATCCATTCACTTGCTGAGGAACATTTAGGATGTTTCTACCTTTTGTATATTCTAAATAACTATGCAGTAAAAATTCTTTTGTAAATATCTGCTCAAGTCTTGGCTTTCAACTATTTTTAGTATACATCTAGATGTGGAATTGTGACTTGCTTTCTTATTTGAATTTTTTCCTTCTGCTGGTTGAAGATTACAGATTCTCTGTCTACTCTTTACTGATTATCTTTAAAATAATATTTTGTATTCATAATAACTAACAAAATCTATAGTTAATATTTTAACTCCCTCCAAACAATTCAAGGACTTTAGAAACTTTGATAACCTCCCTCCTGGCTTACATAGATTTGTTATCCAGAATTAATTTGTCTTCTTTTTAACCTCATAAATTATTTATTTTCATCATTATAGTTACTATTACTGGTATGCTGATATGATACAAGTTAAATAAAGAGTACAAGTAGGGTATATGACTTTAAAAAGAAACAGAAGAAAAAATAAAATCTTGATTTTAAAAAATTTATAAATGTATCTAGATTTTTTTAACCAACAAAAAAAAAAAAAAAATAAAAAAAAAAAAACAATAGGCGCTGAGAAAACAAAACACCAGGGTAGCAAATTTCTGCTCAAGTTAAAAATCTGTGATGTTAGGTTGATAGTGCCACTATGTCTAACACTAGTTTGATCATATCTACAAACAGAATATACCATTTATCTTGACGGTACTAATGGGTTCTGAACTATGTTATCTCAAGTACCTAGATTGTTACCTATGGCCCAGCAGGCCAGTAAGGTCCAAACATTAATTTGGTCAGCATACAACCCTTCAGTATCTGGAATAGGACAGCACAGTTCCAGGCACTAGTATATAACACTGAATCCACAGATGAAAATGAATGTCTCCAGACGTTAGTAAACATTTTTCCAAAGAAGATATACAAATGGCCAAAAACGCATGAAAAGATGCTCAATATAACTAAACATTAGAGAAATGCAAATCAAAATCACAGTGAGATAGCTCCTCACACACATTAGAATGGCTAAAATAAAATTAAAAATAAAAACAGGAATAACAAATGTTGTCTAGGAGGTGGAAAAATGGAACCCTATGCATTGTTGAGAATGTAAAATGGTGCAGTCACTGTGAAAAACAGTACGGACTTTCCTCAAAAAGTTCAAAATAAACTATCATATAATAAAGCAATTCCACTTTTGGGTACATATTCAAATGAATTGAAATCAGCATCTCTGCGGGTTATTTAGGACATCAGGGATATATGTATACTAATAGTCACAGAAGCATTAGTCACAATAGCTAAAAGTCATTCAGACCATAGATAACTGAATAAGCAAAATGTGATATATGCATGTATTAGAATATTATTTAGCCTTAAAAACACAGAAAATTCTGACATATGCCTCATTATGGATGAACCTTCAGGACATTATGCTCCATAAAATATGTCAATCACACAAAGACAAATGCTGTATGATTCCGCTTATATGAAATACTTACAGTAGTCAAAATCATAGAGACAGAAAGTAGAACAGTGGTTGCTAAGAGACAAAAGAAGAGGGGAATGGGAAGCTATTGTTTAATGGGTACAGAGTTTCAGTTTCACACAATTTAGAGTTCTGGATACAGGTGGTGGTGATGGTTGCCTAAAAATATGAAAGTTCTTAATAACCACTGAATGGGTTTACTTAAAAATGGTTAAGATAATAAATTTTATGTTGTGTGTATTTTGCCACATAAAAGTTTTTTTAATGATTTCAAGAAGTTGACACATAGTGAGAAAGAAAGACAATGAACAAGAAACAAAATATATGACATGTCAATATGTGGAATGTTCTAGAGAAAAATAAAACAGGGAAGAAAGATAGGGAATGCTGGGCATGGCATGTAGGTGGTTGTCATGGTCAGGGAAGACTTCATCAAGGAGGCAATGTCTGAGAAAAGACCCTGTGTCACAGCGGGCTGGCTGTCCACAAGCATTTGCATTCCCCTTATTAGAGTGGAATTATTGTGCGAGGTGACATCTGAGCCAGGACGACATTTCGCAGGTCCTCTCACAACTGGACACAGCCATGTAACTAATTCTCATCAACAGAATTTGAGGAGATGAGCTTTCTCTTACCTCTAAGCTGAGATTTTATGAATCTGAAGTGGCTCCTCCACTGTCTCTTTCCCCTTCTGCCAACTGATACACAAGACTTTAAAGCTTTAGAACAGGGCTGTCCAAGAGAGATACAATATGAGACATATACGTTATTTTAAATTTTCTAGTAGCTACACTAATATACACATTATTCCTTTCCCTGGTAGCTCAGAGGGTAAAGCATCTGCCTGCAATGCGGGAGACCTGAGTTTGATCCCTGGGTCGGGAAGGTCCCCTGGAGAAGGGAATGTCACCCTACTCCAGTATTCTTGCCTGGAGAATCCCATGGATGGAGGATCCTGGTAGGCTACTGTCCACAGGGTCACAAAGCGTCGGACATGACTGAATGACTTCACGTTCTTACACAACATGTATATTTTAGCTTTGTGTAGTGGCAGTATCATAGCCAAGCAAGTTTATCCAAGATGTGATTATTTGCCATTACAAATGGGTAAAACTCATTTCAAAAATGCATTTTTGAGCCTGTGTGCATGTGTGTGTGCTCAGTCACATCCGACTCTTTGCAATCCTATGGACTGCAGACTACCAGGCTCCTCTGTCCATGGGATTCTCCAGGCAAGAACACTGGAGTGGGTTGCCATGCCCTCCTCCAGGCGATCTCCCTGACCTGGGGATTGAACCCATGACTCCTGGGTCTTCTGTACCACAGTTAGATTCTTTACCTAGTAAGCCACCTGGGAAGCCTGTTTTTGAACCCAATAGGGCTCAAATAGAGGGGCAGTTACACAGATATTTGGTGGCCAGAGGGCGGTCTGTGGCAGAAACATCTAGCTTCCCCAGGAGTCCTTACTCCAAATTCACTGTGTTAGATTCTTGCTGGGACATGCTACAGAGCCAGTGATTATCATCACAGTTCCCCTTGAATCCAGTGTGGCCCCGTCACTAACTATTCTCTCAAGAGAAGCTAAGTTCCAGTGATGTTTGCCGTGTCCACTGTCTGATTTTCCTTCCACTGTGGAGAAACAGAGGCCTCGGGGGCCTGGCCAAAGAGGCTATAGAGTCACACAGGGAAGGAGCCTGTGTCCCAGACTTGCCACTTACAGGAAAGTCACCTGCCATCCAGGCACCATTTTCAGCTGTTTCAGAAATGGGAGGTAGACTTCTGCTTCGGTAAAGGCACTGTAAATTGAAGGTTTCTTGGCTATAGTTGCAAACAGCACCCTAATTAACACACTCCTGATAGAAGTGAAGGAGAGAGGTAAGCAGCTCTCTGGGCAAAGAGCATTCCAGGCAGAGGCAGCAGTCAACTCACAGCCCTTGGGCAACAGAATAAGTGTGTCCAGGGATCAGGCAGGAGCAAAGTGTGGCCAAAGCCAAGCAACAAGGGGAAGAGCTGAAGGTGATAAGATCAGAGCCATAAAGAGAGGCCAGATCCTCAGGACCTTGCCGGCCATTGTGAGGACTTTGGCTTTTACCCTGAATGCGTTGGGGAGCCACTGACGTGTTCAGAGTCAGTGAGGAAGACATGCCCGGACATCTCAGCCTGGATCACTGCAGCGGGTGCTCGGGAACAAAGTCCAGAGAGACAACAAATCGAGAGGTCCATTAAAACGGTTGAGGGCGGAGGTGAAGTTGGCTTGGAATCAGGAGGTGGCAGAGGAGGTGGGGAGCAGGGTTTGGATTCTGAGTATGTGTCTAAGGTAATGCCAAGGGCTCCTTGTCTGAAATTGAGGCATAAATGATATTTATGCTTCTGGCTGGCTCATGCTAGACAACTATATATGCATCGAGAGCAGAAATTGGCTCTTGGCAGCTCATAAAGTACTTGGTGTCCTCTGTAGTGAAAAGGGCTCTTCCAATGCATAACTGCATTATTGTTTCATTACAGGTATTAATAATTGATGTGTAAAAAGCAAACAAAACTAACCGGAGGTCTTAGGAATGCTTTCTGAGCTACTCAACCCATTAAAAACTCTTCATTGAGATTTAATGCTATTAAAATATATTCACCCTCAGTGCGGTCACTAATATAAACTATGAAACTGTCATCAACCTGAGAGACAAGATTGCTTGGGGTTCTTTCCAACAGCCAGCTATGATTGTTCTGAAACAAACAAACATGGCAGGCTACTTAAAACAGGAAAATTATCAAGACATCAGTCTTATAGCCATGAAATTCAGTGAAGCTTTACTCACAGACTGTATGGAGGGTTATTACCCTCTTTTACTTCTAATGATGAGAGCAAAATTAATTTTTATTACTATTGTATAAATTTTAATCCATCTCTTTTCCTTTTAAAACCTATATAATTTCCATCATTATACATGTGGTATTCCTCACTAGCAATACGATCTGATTTCCTCTCTCTATAATATGTTCTCAGTTATGCCTCAGCTAAGTTTATCATTTTTCACTCCTCTAGAAGTGTCACTGGAAAAAAGGTAATTCTTTTTTGTTCTTCAACTAGCAACTTCACCTGGTTTAGGTCGACACTAAGGCAGAAATTTCTTGAAATTTGTAATTTTTAAAAAAAATCACAAGATTACAAAAGATTTAGGGAAAGAGCAAACACAAATTGCCCTGAGGATACTGTAGCATCGTGTCACTGTAATTGCAAACATCAATAAAGTGTTTAACCATGAGACAAGAAATTGGTAAAATAGAAAAAAAAAATTCCATAGTAAAATTCACAAGCTTAAGAAAATAATAGAAGTGGCCACATGGGAACATAATTAAACAGTAAGAAATCCAGTAAACTGGGTATTGGAAATAGGAAGGAGTCTCCCTTGAGTCAAAAGGATAGGCAGGATTATTAAGAGATCAGTTTACTAAACAACTGTAAGGCCTCCGTTATTGTTGTTCAGTCACTAAGTCATGTCTGATTTTTTGTGATCTCATGGACTACAGCACACCAAGCTTCCCTGTCTTTCACTACCTCTCAGAGTTTGCAAGCTCATGTCCATCAAGGGAGAAATAAATGCAACAAAACATTAGACATTATTTCCAAAAAAAAAAAGCAAACCACATGATGAATAAGAAAACTTTCTCATTTTACTTAAACTACATAAAGTATAAGATAAAATAAAGAAAACTATGCTTTCTTACAAATAAGGACCTACAACTTTAAAAAATGACATTAAACAAAAGAAACAATGATTTAGCACTCCTTCGCTCAAAACACAATCGCTTTTGATGGGACTTTTATAACAGACAACATGTAGAGAGGAGAGAAAGAGAACTTAATTAAGGTAATTATGGCATCATTAAAATGTAGACCAAAAGAATATGTCCTAATTTGCTGGGCCTTATGGGTCCCTGTGCTAGATGGTATCATTCTCTATAATGGGTGCAGCCAAATATAAGAACAAAACAAAAGTCTGTTTTACCATCTCAGAAACAGCTGTTTATTTGATAGGCATGCTCTCTCTAGAGATTTTACCCACTACAGATTTTATTCATATATTTTAACTTCTCCTATCAGGAGGCTCTTCCCCTCCCTCCCCCTTTGGAATGTAGAGTCACCTCCATTCAAGCTTTCTTGCTTGGAAGAAGGGACAACTCCTGTCCCCACTCTTACCTGATTCCACTTATATCTGCCCCTCCCAACTATGCCTGTCCTGAGTTCTCCCTTCTTGTAGGTCTTACTGTCCACAGACACTCTGATCAATTTCTCTGAGTGTAATGAGGCCATGAACACACACCCAAGAACTGACCCTCATAATCTGCGACTAGAGGAAGAGAGAGGAGCATTTGGGAAATCATTCAACCAAAGAGACCAAAATTTGATCCAGTCACAACATCTCAGCCACTGGAGTTGGGGAGGAACTATATATAACCAAGTGCCTACCTCCCAGATGGGGGCCCCAGCCCAGGCCCCAAGACAATGCTTAGGAATAAGGATAAGAAGTAAAAAGTAACCACAAGGAGAGATTGTTCTCTGACTCCCTATCTTGGCACAGAAATGAACTAAACTGATAAGACTTTGCTTGGGGGGTTGGTGAGAGGAGGGTGCGAGAAGGGGACCAAACCTTTCTCCCATCCTCTGTGGCAGCAGCATCCTTTGACAGAGGACACAGCAGCATCACAGAGCATCCTTGATGTCATGGGTACCAACAGCTTCACTAGCCAGAGTGGCCAGGCTACATGGAGATATCTGGCATCCTGCAACCCCAGTGCAGGCAGAAGGAAATCTACATATGGCACTGGAGGCCCTGGGTGTCAGGGAGGTGGAAAGGACTTGTTTGAGAGTATGTGTGACGAGGTGCCCTGAATTCAATGGGGAGGCAGAAGTGAGTCTCTGAACATGGCTAGAAGGTTCCGTGCTTTATAGAAGGTATTACAGTGAAACAACATTTTTTACTTTAAGGTTAACATGATTTTTACCCCCAGGTATGATCTGAGGATAAATGTCTTAACATGCTACATGAGTGATGTTAGTTAAGTGATTACTCTTTCCAGGAACAGTTTGTATTTCAAGAGGGATTTCTTGTAGACAAAACCTTAATATTTGTATACCCACACTTCCCCCAATTGTTAACTGGAGTTATGGCTAATGTACCTCCATTGAGGCTCAATACTCTACTTGTCAAGTTTGTTCTAAGGCTGAAGGCCCCTGCATAGGATGAGGTGGTTAGGTTCAAGAAAGCTGATATTTTAAGTATTTCAAGTTTTTAATTCCTGATCCCCTCATCCCAAACTCTTCTTTCCACTTCATAATGAAAACATTTTCATTTGGTCCTACAGAGTATTATTAATGAAAAAGTACTATTAAAATTATGCTATTAGGGAGCATTATATAAGTATATTAATTATATTCTATATTATATATTTATTAAGTTATGTGATTTTATAAACATAATTTATAAAGTATATTATAAATATAAATTATAAAATATATATTTATAAAGATGTACTTATATAAAATAATGCTATTTTAACTTATATAAAAAGTTACATTCAGCCAATTTAATTCTAAGCTTAGAAAAATGACAACAAACATCAGCCCTTGGCCTGATATTTTTTAACATTGCCATTATTAATGTATGTATGTACATGATATAACATGACAAGTGGAGAAATGTGTCCAGTATCACCAAATATGGAAACTAAAAAGTGACTTCAGCAAACATTCTTACATATCCACACTAAGTGATTAGGTGTCAGTAGCAACATTTTTAGTAGAATATCCTAAGCATCCAATAAATACCTAGAATGACAGAAATGGACAACTCTCAAAGACACTTCAAATCAGACTGACAATTTTAAAGAGAAAATTAAGGCTAGGTAAGGCAATATTTTTTGTTCCATGGCCAAGCTTAATCTGAAACCTATGCCCCTCCACAACTCAAAATGTATTCTTTCCCTTCTAGCTAAGGCTTTGGAGATTAACAGGACACCTACCCCCATTTTATACAGAATCTGGTTTCCAGGCTAGTGGTCAATCCCCACTTTTACCCCCAAACACTGTGGTTCCCCCAAACAACCACACCCAAACCTGCAGCATAAAAGTAGCATTGCATAAAGGGATGTCCTACTATACACTCTCCAGTACCACAGTATTCCCAGAAACACCCAACTCAGCTCAATATCCATCCTACGTGCTGTGGTCTGAAATGTTTGTTATAGCGCAACCCATGCACAATCCTTGCCTAAAACACACACACACAAGTGCAAACATATACACACGCACACAAAATATGTTAAATTTTAATTGCATGAGGACGCATGTCACACAATCCTTAAGGAAACTGATTTTGCTCGATAGTGCCAAGGATGACGAGGACCCTGTAAAAATAAAGAATGAATTTCCTCTGTTCCCTGTGGGACATGTAGGCACAGTTTAGGTGCCTCTCTTTGAATAGCTGGACATCTGGATGTTGTGAGATGGGAGCCATAATTGCCCTTTGGTATTAATATGATCTTTTTCTAAAAATTGTTACTAAGGCCATGAGCAGGAACCAATCATGAACTGATCCTCCTTCTGACATTGCTTATGGTCAGCCAAGAATAAGTTCTCTGCCTTCTCTGAACCACAAGCAGTACAGAAGCAAATGTAACACATTTCCAGACCCCGGAATATCTGAAGACAAAGCCCATTTTAAATGGTAGCCCTCAGTTTAACAAAAACCATTAAACCGATCACTCAGACACCTCGGGAACGGCCAGGATGTGAAGTCAAGGTCCCTCTGTTACCCACGTGGTGAAAAATCAGTTTTTAATTCCCTTCTGTGACTGAACTTTTGCAAACGGATGTTACAACAAGATGACTGTGCTTTCAGTAATGGAAGGAAAGGAAAATATCAGAGGAAGCTGATACACTAACTGGACAATTCATACTAAATGAATTGTTTAGTATCTCACCACAGTATATTTTCCCTGCAAAGTGTGATCAATTGAGATTGGGAACCCAAAAGGGCAAAAGACTACCTGCAAGTTTGAGAAACCACACAGTATGTCTTATATATGGAAGAATGTCAGTCATCTGCTGTGTTATCTTCTGATCACAGCCCCTGCTGCTCATTCGTCTGTTAATTTCTACCCATCCATCAGCTTTCTCATTTACAACCTCAACTCCTTCGGAAAACCAGTGATGACATAGCCATACTGTTCAGAGACAGTACTCCAACACACTTATTTATGCTGATGTTTTCAAGCCCCAGAATTTATAAATAATCTGTCAGTCGGTTGAAGCTAACAGTGGCTGGGAACTCAACTAGGGCATCAAGAATATGTGACTCCTTTCTGCCTTCACTAATGGAGCCTGAGGATCCATTTCTGAAATCACTGAGTCAGAAGCATTCAAAGGAGTCAATGAATAACCATGCAATTAGCATACACAAAGAACACGACACTAGGAACTGAAAAAACATGTAATACCCAGGTCCAATTCCAGATCAAGTAAACTAGAAATCTCTTGAGTGTGTGGTTCAGATATAGGAGTTTTTTTCCCTTTTTTTTTTAATTGGAGGATAATTACAATATTGTAATGGGTTTTGCCATACATCAACATGAATCGGCCACAGGTATACAGTGTCCCCCATCCTGAACCCCCCTCCCACCTCCCTCCCCACCCTACCCCTCTAAGTTGTCCCAGAGCATCAATTTTGGGTGCCCTGCTTCACGAATCAAACTCGCCCTGGACATCTATTTTACATATGGTAATATATATGTTTCAATGCTAGTCTCTCAAATCATACCACCTTCTCCTTCTCACACTGAGTCCAAACATCTGACAAGAGACCCACCTCAAACCTGGGGACACATACAGGCTGAAAGTGACGGGCTGGAAAAAGGTATAGGTTCTTTTTAAAAAAAAAAAAAATCTCTCCAGGTGATTTTAAAGCACAGACAGGATTGAGAACCATGGTCTTAACACAGTACAGGACCCTGAGGACTGTGGCCACAAACGTGCACAGAGCACAGTTTCTGCTCTGTCAGCTGGGAGAGGCATTGTGGAGCCCTGAACCATCATGCAAGTCTAGCCAGCTTGAATCGCCATGCTGTGAGGAAGATCAAGCCACATGGAGAAGTCACATATTCTCGATGCCCCGGCTGAGTTCCCAGACACTATCAGCTTCAGCTGAGTAACTGAGTGACTGGCAGATTACTTATGAATTCTGAGATGTGAAAACATCAATATAAATAAATGTGTTGGAATACTGTCTCTGAATTTGCATCAAACATTCATTTTCTAGTTTTCCTTTAAATCTAAGATCACTTTTGTTCAAGCAGTAAATGAAATTACACGTGTTTGAAGCCACATACTGAGTTTTTCATGTTTTGAATAGAGATTACATTTTAATTGAAATAGGTGGATAAAATACTCTGAAAATGCTATGAAAAGGTCTACAACATAAAGCTGCCTAACTTCAAAGAGACAATCAGTATTATTTTGAAATATCACAGAAATGAATAAACCATTGGAATCGTGATCTAGAAGGCTTAATGGGGGTCCCCCCAAAAAAGGCATGCATGCATGCTTTGTCGTATCCAACTCTTTGCAACCCCATGGACTGTAGCCCACCAGGCTCCTCTGTTCACAGGATTCCTCAGACAAGAATACTGGAGTGGGTTGCCATTTCCTACTCTAGGGGATCTTCCCAACCCAAGGATTGAACCCAAGTCTCTTCCATCTCCTGCACTGCAGGCATTTTTTACCACTACACCACCTGGTGCATGTCTTAATCCCTGGAATCTGTGAATGTTGCCTTATTTGGAAAGGTCTTTGCAGACATAAGTAAGGCTCCTGAGATGAAGTCATTCCAGATGATACATAGGACTTAAATCCAATGACAAGTATCCTTCTAAGGGGCACACAGGAGAGATTTAAGACCGACAAGGAGGAGGCACTGTGACCACTGAGGCAGAGATCTGAGCAAGAAAGCCATATGTTACTCAGGATTACTTACAGCCGCAAGAAACTGGAAGAGGGGAGACAGAGATTCTCCACCGTAGCATCAGAGGGAGTGTGGCCCTGTCAACAACTAGATTGCAGAACTCTGGCCTCCAGAATTGTGAGAAAATAAATCTCTGGTTTACCAACCAGTGTGCAGTAATTAGTTACAATAGCTACAGGAAATTAATATAGTTGTAAAACAACAATATTTATTCATCGAACTTTCTGCTTCCACTACAACTGCAAAATTTAATAAACTGCAATTTTACTTTTTGTATTTGTCCTTATGCTTCTACCTACAAGACAAACCTCAGTTAAAAATACCATTTCTATTATAAAAGTGTCAGATTTTTATTACTCTATTATTTTCCTTTATGTTTAAAGCTTCCCATGCATATTTTGGGGGGGGGGCTCTTTTTAATGTATGATCTAGCAGTGATTTTCAGGCTGTATTTACCAGCAATCTTTTTTTAAAGATTTTTTTTTAATGTGGGCCATTTTTAAAGTCTTTATTGAATTTGTTACTGTAACACTTCTGTTTTGGTTTTTCAGCGACAATGCACATGGGATCTTAGCTCCCCAACCAGGGATCCAACTCACACCCTCCACACTGGAAGGTGACATCTCAACTACTGGACCACCAGTGATGTCCCCCTAGTGTACAAAGGTAAGCACTGATTGAGCATTCTGAATTCTGCAGAAACTTGTTTAAAATATATATATATATACACACACACACACACACACACATATATATATATACATACATACACACATATACACCGCTTCCCAGTGTTTCACTGGTAAAGAATCCACCTACAATGCAGGAGACTTGCAGGAGAGATGGGTTCTTTCCCTGAGTTGGAAAGATCCCCTGGAGAAGAAAATGGGAACCCGCTCCAGTATTCTTGTCTGGGAAAAAACCCACGGACAGAGGAGCCTGGGGCTACAGTCCGTGGGGTTGCAAAGAGTCGGACACTACTGAGCAACTGAACAGCCACACACACACACACCAGACACACACACACCAAACACACACACACACCAGACACACACACACACACCAGACACACACACACCAGACACACACACACACCAGACACACAGTACAGAAAGGATAATAATGAGAAACACACACACACACACACACACACACACTACAGAAAGGATAATAATGAGAATGCTATCTTTGCTAGAGAGTGTATTGTTTGTAGGAAAAATGTTTGTAGACAGGCTTTAAAGCCTGGCAAATTCCAACAGTGGGACGTTCTACAAAATAAGAGTAGCCCTCAACATTATCACGGTCATCAAAAATGAGGAAAGTATGAGAAATTGTCAAAGCCAAGAGGCACCTATGGAGACATGAAGGCTAAATGTAATGCTGTATCCTGGAACGGAAAAAAAAAAAAGGACATTGGATAAAAATTATGGGAAACTGAATGATGACTTTAGTTAAAAATAATATAGCAATATTGGTTCATTAGTTTGAGTAAACTCCGGCGGTTGGTGATGGATAGGGAGGCCTGGCGTGCTGCTATTCATGGGGTCGCAAAGAGTCGGACACGACTGAGCGACTGAACTGAACTGAACTGAACTGAACAAACGTGCTATATAAATTTTAAGATGTTAACGAATAGATGAAACTGGGTGCCCGCTGTATCAGAATTCCCTGTACTATCTTCTCAATGTTTCTGTAAATTTCAAGCTGCTTTTAACAGTCACGCCTATTAATAGACACACACACATACCCCTCTATCAATATTCATGTTTTAAGTAAGACACTAAGGTTGAAGGAAGTGAAACATTTCATACAAATCAGCAATGTTCCTCGATTGTTTCCCAGAATGCTAGTCCATACTGCAAAGAGTTATTTAATAAGGCTAATTATTGGCGATGTTCTGAAAAGGGAACAACACCAAAAAACTTTCCTGGACTTGCAAAGGAAAAGGAAAAAGCAGCTGGTCCTGCTGGCAGTCGAGTTTCCAGGGCTAACTGGCGTGCCATCTGCTTGCCGCCGCAGAGCGTGGTAACCATGCTTCACGTGTCACTCCAGCGTTCGCGTTAGAAGTCGGCTCAACAAGCCTGGACAATTCCGCGGCCGCGCAGGTTGCCGGGGGAGGGGGTGGCGGCGGCAGCATCCAGAGTGTGTGTATCGTTTTCCCAAACTCCATCTGCTCCCTCGTCCCCGGGCTGTGCCCGCGGTCTCCCCGCGCGGCCAGCCGAGAGACGGGCGGGTATTTTGCGCACAACAAAAGAACGCTCGTCCTCCTCCCCCCGCCGCCCCACGCCGCCCCTGCCCTCGCTTCCCGCGGCCGCCCGGGCGCGCGTCCCCGGGAGGAATCGGCTCCTGGCCCCGAGGTTTCCAGGTACCCGGAAGGGGAGGGGGCGAGGCGGCCACAATTGGGCGGGTGAGGCCGAAACGCGCGCCCAGGAGCGCCAAGACACGGAGGGCGGCGAGCCCGGGCCGTGCCGCCGCGCGATTGGCCGGGGCCGCCCTGCCGGCCGCCGCTGATTGGCGGATGCTCGAATTCGGTCTCAAGGCGCCAGAGGAGGTGTTTTAGCGGGGACCGCGGTCCAGAGCAGGAGTCGCGCTCGGCGGGCCGGGACGCTGGCGCTCCGCGAACGCCACGGGTTCCCCGCCAGCGAAGGGTGCTTGGAGCGGGGAGCTGCTCGCCTAACTTTCCCCGCCCGATGTCGCCGTCCAGCTGCTGATCGAGTCCCCAAGCTGATCCCGCTCCACTGTGGGGCTGCGGAGGTCCCGGGAGAGGCAGGAAGGCTCCTTCGCAGAGTGGGAGTAAGTAGCGCTGGCAGGGAGGCGGGAACTGGGGGGAAAGGGGACCCTGCGGCTGCGGCTACCGCTCTGCCACCCCTCCCCACCCCGGCTGGCGGGGAATCGAGGCATTGCTGCCTCTGGACCAGGCGTGCGTGGGGTGTCTGGGCTCCAGCTCGCCCTCTGGCCGGGCGGTAGAGAGAGAACCTGCCCTACCTCACGAGCTAGGGGTTTCATTGCAAGTTTATCTTTGGGGTCTGCTCGGAGGCCTGGGAAGGGACTGCGCTAGGCACTGAGTGGGTTAGGTCTAGCGATCAGGTTTCCTTCCCCCCATTCAAACCCCCGTCAAAGCCGAATTCCTCCCAGTTCTTTGCGCCAAAATTAACTGACCCAGGAGACCCTGTACTTTCTGACAGATTTGCCCTACACCGTCTTGACTTGAAACTTAGTTTTGTCCTGTTATTTTTCATTAAAAATTACTATTTTTATCGGGTTTTTTTTCCTTCCCAATTTCAGTCATTGCTAAGCACAGCTTTAAGTGTTTGTGTTCCTTCGTGTGCGTTTTACAGACTTGGGGTAGGCACGACCCTGGAAACTCCCAGGATGAGCTTAGGGAGGGGAAGTTCATGTTCATGAGCGAGTAATAGATATTTCTGTTGACGGAAAGAATATCCAACTGTAAAGTCGTTTTCTAATGTACATTACAGATGGAGGTAAATTGTCTAACACTAAAAGACCTGATCAGCAGGCCGCCCAGACTAGATTTTGCAATTGAAGATGGGGAAAATGCACAAAAGGTAAGTGAACTTAAATACCTTAAGCTCTATCATATTTATGATGGTAATGTCTAATTCAGTTAAGGATTCCAGCATCCCACTTGTATTTGTCTTATAAACATAATAATCTTGGTGAACATTTTAGAACTATGCTTTTTTTTTAAGGGAGGAGACATCCAGCCATATCCTTAAGTTTCTCAGTCACTACGTAGTGGAAAGAGGCTAGGTTACGTGTAATGCTGAAGCAAACTTATATGAATCAAAGATATGCTAGACATGCAGTCAAAAGACTGTATTACTTAGTTATCAAGAGTAGAATTAATGCAGATGAACTTGCGAAACAGGCTCACAGACTTCCAGTAGGAGCTTATGGTTGGGGGTGTAGGGAGAAGGAAGTGGTTAGGGAGTTTGGGATGAACAGGAACACAGTGCTATATTTAAAACAGATAACCAACAAGGACCTACTGTATAACACAGGGAACTCTGCTCAATGTTATGTGGCAGCCTGGCTGGGAGGGGAGTTTGGGGGAGAAGGGATACATGTGTATGTATGGCTGAGTCCCTTTGCTATTCACCTGAAACTCTCACAGCATTTTTTGTTAATCAGTTATACCCAATACAAAATTTTTTTAAAAAGTAGAATTAGCTAATGCTGGTCAGGAATGTTAAGTCTCAGTTCCCAGGAAAACTCTGTGTGCTAGATTATTAAAGTATAGAGAGATGTTCTTCATACTGATGAACCAGCTCCTGGAGGCTGTCCCATCTTCCCAAGAGCATGAGCAGGGCCTCCCGATAAAGTGAATATTCACCAAGACTGAATATTTTCAGCACTCCTGCTGGTTTTGCACTGAGCCGTCCCTTGTGGTTTTGCATGCCTTGTAATTTGTAAGACAGTGGGGCTGTGTTCGAGAAACATTACGAAGTAACCAACCATAGCAGTGTCTAAACAGAACTCGTGTCATCACAATGCCCTTGCCAGCCAGTGCCCTACTGAGTAGGTGGGAAAGCTTGTTAGTAATGAACATCTAAGCATTTTGAGGCAGAGGCAAATAGATATGACATAGCCAGGTTTAGAAACCTTAAATATCAATCTGAGCACAGCCACTTCCTTAGGCATTGAACTTCTCTTGGTCCCTGAGCTTAATTTTAGGCTTGGTGTCCATCATGAAACTGCCTGACTGCAAAGCACCTGTTATATGGGCCTTTGAAGAATACTTGACAACCATTAATTTTGGATAGGTGTAAAATTAGATGCTTTTTCATGTATGATTTCCACCCTCCACCCCAGAATTTGATTTATTTTTGTTGCAAAAAGAAGTATACCAAAACATTAATGTTTTAAAGAGGACTTTTAAAAAATTCCATTTGCCATATGAGATTGGCAATGCCCAGACTTTAGAGTATATATTCAGAGTTTTGGTTTTGCAAGTTTCAGAGCAAAACTTTTTGTTTTTCTTCATAATTTGGATGGGACAGCCTTGAAAGAATGTGTATACCTTTAAGTAAGTAAGTAAGTGTTAGTCACTCAGTCATGTCTGACTCTTTGAGACCCGATGGACTGTAGCCCGTCTGGCTCCTCTGTGGGAGTCTCCAGGCAAGAATACTGGAGTGGGTAGCCATTCCCTTCTCTGGGGGCTCTTCCTGACCCCGGGATCAAACCTGGGTCACCTGCATTGCAAGCGGATTCTTTACCATCTGAGCTACCAGGGAAACCGTGTGTATACCTTGGCACAGAGACAAAGCCAAGGGGGGAGAAAAGGCAAAGTTGGTATCCACTTCTTTCCTTCCAAGTGGGTGATTTTTTATCAAGTGCTTTCAACAAGGGTGCTTTCCTACTCTAGCCCAGTAAGTACTTTGCCTGGCTGAGCTTTCATATGTTAGCGGGTTTAGAGAAAACTCCAGATGACTCCATAGAGATTTAGGAAAGTGACTAAAATGTTTGAGATAGAATACAGGGCTTATTTCACCTGTCAAAGAGATGGCAGAGGAAGAGATGAGTGCTCCAGGAGATGCTCGATGGGGCTTTCATCTCTCTTTTCACATTGCTGGAAAGGAAAGGAAAGAGGAATTCTAGGGACGCTAAGAATGTGGGATTTGGAGTCAGATTTGGCTTTGAGTTCCTCTTCTACCATTTGTTAGCTCCGTAAGCTTGAGTAAATTTATTATTCAGTTTTTCAACAAATATTTATGTTCCAGTTGCTGGGGGTACCGTGTTTTAATAAATCTCCTAGCTTCCCTAAGCCTATTTTTTATTTTATGAATTGGAATTAGTAAGTAGACGCTCTTCTCTGGGTGTCTATAAAGCACCCAACAATCCATATTGTTCACCCTTACTCAACTGAACTGACAGCTCGAAGATAAATATGACGCAGGCCTGGCCCTCAGTTACCTCAGAGATGTTTCAGGGGCTCAGATGTAAACTCACCAACTAGCCTGTGATTTGTTAAGTGCTCTAGGAGTGGGAACCAGTTGCCCCAGCAGAACAGAAGAGTAAGAAAGAAATTCACGAGGAGTCTAGAGGAAGTTGGAAAGCTTCACTGGGGAGATAATACTTGGGCTGAGGACTTCAGCCTATCCGGGAACAAGAGGAATAAGGTGGCCTTTGTAGGCAGAAGAATCATATGAGTCTGTGTGGTGTGGACATTCAAGAAATGTTCAAAATTTCCAGAGTGGCCAGAAGCCAGTGGTACTGCCTGAAACCCTCTGGTGGGTGCCTGGAACAGTGTCCTATGGGTCAGTCAGCATGTAGAGGACTTATCTTTCTTGACGGTCTGATCTTCATTGGTCACAGGCTATAGTACTGCATACTTCTTACCACTCACGGAGAAACTTTTCTTTAAAACATAAAGTTTACTGTGCCCAAGTTGTGAGATTATAAACAAGACTTTCCTTTTTGGTTGTCTGTACTGCATTTAGGAATGACTAAAGAAGAAAAAGGATGGTTTGGGATGAAGGAGTGGACAGGAAAGATTGAGCTTTGGGAGGCCTGTGTGAAGGGGGTGACACTTGAGCTAGGTCTTGAAGGAATGAATGCTAAGACTTAGGCAAGTGGAAAGGAAGGACACTAGTAAAGAAGTGGAAGCTAACATAGTAAATTTGGGGACCTCACCTAGACATAGTGGGCATGGCTTTTCTTTGAAGGTCATTCATCTTTTGCATGCTAAGTTGCTTGAGCTGTGTCCAACTCTTTGCAACCCTATGAACTATAGCCCATCAGGCTTCTCTCGCCATGGGATTTTCCAGGCATGAATACTGCAGTGGGCTACCAAGCCCTCCTCTAGGGGATCTTCCCAACCCAGGGATCAAGCTCAAAAGAAGGTGAGTTCAACTCGAAGCATTTATTTATACCCCTGTGCTTACAGGTAAATAAATAAATATGTGCAAGAGGCAGTTGATTGCCTGATTTGGGAATTCATGGAAGGTTCTAGCCAGATACAAACTTGGGAATTTTAAAATACATGTTGGTTTTAAAGCCATGAGTGGGTGAGCTGCCCTGGAGAGCAAATAGGGAAGTGTGGAGGGCTGAAGTTTCTAAGAGCAGAAAATGAGGAACCTATGAAGGAGGCTGAGAAGGAACAGTCACAAATAGAAAGAGAACCAAGAGAGAAAAAGTGCTGGCTCAGAAGGACTGAGAATTTCATAAAGCAAATAGTCGACAGTCTTAACCGTGGCAGTGAGGTCAAATGCGGTTGACTTGTCACCTAAGATGGGATCTAAACGAGAGCAGTGAATAAGAGCAGACTGGTGGTTTGAGGAACCCCCAGAGATGGGCAGGGGAAAGTCCTAGGTGCAGATTACTCATTCTGGAACATGTGCTCTGAAGGGGAGGAGCATGTGTCAATGACTAGGAGACATCTCCGGATGTGCCTGTCATATTTGCAATGAGTATAAAGAGTAGTTGGGTTTCACTGGGCAAAGCTTAGCCTGTGGCAGCAACACGATGGTGTAAGCAGCGGTTCAGATGTGATAAGAGGCGGGACAGGCTTGAAGAAACACGAGTGGACTGTTTATGCAAAATGTAGGACATGCATGAAGTGGGACTGGAAAAAAGGTTGGCACAGTATCACCAGGGGCCTTGAATGGGCTGCTGCTAACGTGATCAAGGCTGCATCTGAGAGAGAGGCAAGGTCATTTCCAGGGTGTGGCAGCTTTTTCCTGGCAAGCAGATCTGACATGGAGATTAGCGGACAGGTGGTGTGTCAGGGAGTGCCCTGGGGACAGTGCCCATTTAAGGAACAAGAAGGCAGCAGAATGAGACAGCGGGTGAAGTGGAGCAGTAGATCAGTCTCCGTGGAACTCGGGTTCACCCTGAGGGAAGCTCTGGGATGACCTCCCCGGAGTGGTTCTGAGTCTGGGCAAGAGGACCAGGCTTTTCCATGTCGGTGTGGCCTCTCCCAGCCCCTGAGGATGGTCCTGGTCTCTCAGGAAGGGGTGTGTCCTGGACGAGTCGGTCCTCTTCAGTCAAAGCATGAAGATGCTTACTGTTGGCATTAGTCCAGCAGCTAGGGAAATGAGGCACTCATTCCTCAAGAGAGCTGGGTACACCCCAGTGTCCACTGCATGGCTGGGCAGCCTTGCTGGGAAGCCTTGGAGATAGGTACTTTGGTCTGAACTCCTTATTTTATAGATCCGGAAACTTGAGTCCAGACAAAACCAACACTGTCCAGTATCAACAAAATACAGAGTGGAGCCCAAAACCAGGTTTCTCAATCCAGTCACTTCCTCCACCTTCCACAACGTCAGGATTTGGGAATGGACAGACGGATGGAGCACGGTGTGATGAGGTTACAACTGACTTTCTGCCCACCTGAGACCTCAAAACAAATTTCTGAGACCTCAAAACAATTTTCTGTCTTATTTTCTATTGATGTAGAGGTGTGGTAACGATCATAACCTACCACGTGACCTGACTCCCCTTCTATTTACCCAGGGATTGAACTTGGGTCTCCAGCATTGCAGGCAGATTCTTTACCATCTGAGCTATCAGGGAAGCCCCAAGTATGACTTAAACTGTAGTGAAAATACATCAAAGTGCTAGAGGAAATAATTGATCTAAATTGCTCCTCAGTAGGAAAAAGTAGGAGGAGCTCAAGGTTCCTCGGAAGACAGCTACCACAGAGGCAGTGGAGGAGGAGGAAGACTCTCTGCCCCTCCGCAAGCCTGGACCACGCCCTCCACCATGGGGAGACCTTTTAAAATAACTTGATAATCAAAGCCCGTTGTTCCTTTTGCACCTATGAGGGGCAAGGCATTGTGCCAAAAATAGTGAAGAATGAGGCATGTGGAACTAGCTCCCTGACCTCCAGAGGTGCACAGTCTCCTTAATGAGACAAGACACACGCCCAGGAAGTTAAATAGCAATACGATGTGCTCTGTTCTATTAGCTCTGAGCTCAAGGATGGATGGTAATAAAGAACAAGAAAGTTGGGGGAGAGAATAGCTAAGTTTTATTGAGTGCTCACTATATGCCAGGAACTGTTCTCATAACTCTGGAGATCAGTATTTTTATGAACTCATTTTCAGTTGAGAGAATTAAAATACAGTGAGGAGAAGGAAATTGCCTGCACTCACCCTGCTGATGAGCTGGCCCTACCAGCCTGCATGCAGAACTGCTACCCATGCCGCCTCGCCCTAGATGTTTGTGGGGATCAGTGGCCTGCTGGGTACCCTGGAGCTGCGAAAAAGATAACTCCATCCCAATTCATACTCCAGACAAGCTTATTTCTAGATGCAGAATTTCGGAAACTTGGATGCAGGAATTCAGAAAATGTTATCAGCTATTTCTTGCCCTACCCATGACTTTTACACTGAATGAGTTTGTATGTGACCTCTGTGTGCCTCAGTTTCCTCATCTGTCGGCTTGAAAAATAATAGTACCTAGGTTAGAGGACTGGATGAGGAGTTAGTGGCGTAAAGTGCAAGGACCAGGACATCCCTGGTGGTCCAGTGGTTAAGAATCCATCTGCCAGTGCTGGCGATGTGGGTTCGATCCCTGATCCGGGAAGATTCCACACGCCACGGGGCAGCTGAACCTGTGCCCCGCAACTGCCAAGGCCACCTGCTCTAGAGCCTGCGTGCTACAACCAGACAGGCCACTGCGCTGAGAAGCCTGCTCGCTGCAACTCGAGAAAGCCCAGGTGTAGGAACAAAGATACAGTGCAGCCAAAAAAAAAAAAAACTGCATGAAACCGGTATTGTCTGTAGCACATAATATGCACTCAGTACTTTCCCTTGAGAGTTCTCCTGTAGAAGACTCATCAGAATTGCACCCTAGCAGGGACTTGTTAAGAGATCTAAGGAGATATAGGCTGCATGCTGACTGCTGCAGTGATATAAGAAATTGTCACCCCCATCTCTGCTCCCTTCCCGTTACCCTAGGACAGAACTCACTCACCATGGCTAGCTGGCAGCTTCCACTGATCCAAGGAACAAGAGATGGCCTGCTACCATGAATTCCAGTTTCTCCCAAACAATTCTTTTTCCCTTTCCACTTGTTGCTCATTTATAGGAAAACACTTTTTTAAAACCACTTCTCAGCCAAAATCTAAGCATGCAGTAAGCTATAGAGTGATACTGTGTACAGGAATATCAAATATGCAACTCACCCACCTTGCTAATTATGTCAGGCACAATTGCCTGGAGGTGAATTCAACTATGGGAAGGGCAGAATCTTTTCTGGTTTTGAATGGCAAATCTTATTCTGCAGGAAAGATATTCATTTCAGAAACTAACTTCATAGTTTCACATGTGAGTTCTGAGTACTCAGTCCTTTTTCTTAATGGATTAGCAGACCCATCATTAATCTTTTCTTATAATTAGCTAAGACATTTTACTTAAAGTTATGGTCTAGGGAAAGGTGCTAGTCCACAAACTTCTATCAAGCTGCAAAAAATCAATAGCAGAACTTGAGAGTTTAGCATTCAGAAACCTCTGTAGTAATTGGATCTTGCCCCTATAACATCTAAGCCTGTGATCAGTGGTCTCTTGTTGGACAAGCTATAGGTTGGGTTGAGTGGCAAACTCAAGGGGAGAGTCACATGTGATGGGAGTTGCGTGTGGGTTCTATGAAGGAAGACCTTGTGTCAGCCTGCGGGAGTTTGGAAGTGCCTTCAACAATGGTAGTTTGAGAAGCAGCACTCTAGGGGAGGGACCATACATTGCCGGATGGTTTGAAATGTGGCCTTCTGTGGATGTCCTTCCATTAACTGCTGTGTTAGCACTGGTGAACACTGAACAAAAATATAATCACTCTTCACTAGTTAGTGCAAACTTGTGAATAGTGTTTTAAAAATATGTCACTGAGAAGCAATATGGACGCAACCCACATTGGCTCTTATTGTCATCCCCGACTCTTATAAACATCCACCAGTGACATACTCTCATGCCTTCTTTCACACAGATGCCGTGAAAAATGTTTAAAAGGAGTAGCCAATTATAATCAGTTTCTCATTGGAACCACCTTTTGATTCCCATGGATCCTTCTGTTTGTCTTCTTTCGTCGTATCTTGATATTTTTCAGCCCTGGACATGTGGTCTCTTTGCAGTTTCTTGTCTTAGTGAATGATGGGATCAAAGTGCACTCTTAGCTGACACCTGCCCTTTCTCATTTTTGCTAAAAGGTCTTTTTTTTTTTTAATAGGAAAATATATTTGTTGATCTCTCAAGGATGGCCCCAAAGACGCCAATAAAAAGTGAGCCAATTGACTTGTCAAAGCAAAAAATCTTCACTCCAGAAAGAAATCCCATCACTCCGGTTAAGCCTGCTGACAGACAGCAGGCAGAACCATGGACGCCCACCGCTAACCTGAAGATGCTCATTAGCGCTGCCAGCCCGGACATAAGAGACCGAGAGAAGAAAAAAGGACTGTTCAGGCCCATTGAGAACAAAGATGATGTGTTTACAGCCTCCCTGCAGGTATACAGGCTGTGCCCCTAAGGGCTTTCATAGAATTGAAAATTTTTAACCTAATTATTAAAAAGTCACAGAATTCTTAACTTTTTGGTTGCTATTGAGTTGAAAGTCCTCTTCTACTTAATCCTTTTATTTATTTACAGCTGAAGTGGGACTCTCAGTCTGTCTCATTTTTCATAATGAGTGTTTTATATTCTTCAGTTTTTTTTCTCTCTTTACCAGTACGAGTTTTTTTAAGGATAATTTTTTTAAGCAATTTAACATTGCTTAAATTATTGCTTAAAAAAGGTATTTAATAATTTTGATTTAATGAAGAAATTTGGATTTTTTAATGCTGCCATGAATTATAATTTTCACTCTGATTTAATAATAATCTAAATATTTGTGATTGGGGAAATTTTGTCATTCTCCCATGTATGTTTAGTTCACTGGTTTAATGCTTTAACATTAAGTTGTCTTTAAATTACCTGTCCTGTAGGAACCAGGGCTCTTGAACAAGCAGCATATATATACTTTTTTTAAAAAGTCTTTCTTGGGACTTAAATTGAGCCTTTTTCAAATGTGGGTTGATAAGACAAGGGAACTTGTTTAATATGCTTACAATAAGAAAGAGTGAGGAAGATTTAGCTGTCCTTGTTCAGGTCTGTCAACGCTTGGTAAATTGTGAAAAATAAGCTTGGTGACACAATGCAGGCAAGTCCATCTCAGATTTTCATGTTAATAGGAATTACACAGGATCTTAGGAAAAAATAGATTCTAATACATCAGGTCTGAGGGAGGGCCTGAGGTTTTTACAGCTGCTGCTGCTGATCTACAGCCTGATGAGCACACTGTCTCAAGGGTGTAGCAACCTGTAAATTATTGCGTTGTTCATTTTTTAATTTAACCAGTAGACTCAGCCTCGGGGCTTCCATGGTGGCTCAGATGGCAAAGAATCTACCTGCAATACAGGAGACCTGGGTTTGATCCCTGGGTCGGGAAGATCCTCTGAAGACGGGAATGGCAACCCACTCCAGTATTCTTGCCTGGAGAATCCCATGGACAGAGGAGGCTGGGGATCTGCAGTCCCTGGGGTTGCAGAGTCAGACACAACAGTGACTAACACACATGCAGAGACTCAGCCTCAAATCACAAAGGAGGAGGAGTTCCGTTCAGAGAAAGCAGTAGGTAAAAGGTTAAGACAATTAGGTTAGGAAGAGTATTTGAACGAGAATTTGGGATGGTAAGGATGAGGATGGGGATGCAGTCCCACCCACTGCAATTTCTCCTTCAGGATGTTAACCGTGACATCTCTCCCCTCCCCTCTGTCCGCCCTCTGTAGCTTGATGTTGTGGATGACAGTGCTGTGGATGAGTTTGAAAAGCAAAGGCCAAGCAGAAAACAGAAAAGTTTAGGACTCCTGTGCCAGAAGTTTCTAGCTCGCTATCCAAGTTACCCTCTGTCAACTGAAAAAACTACCATCTCCCTAGATGAAGTTGCTGTCAGTCTCGGTATGTATCATGGGATCACCTGGAGGCCTGTCTCCAGTTATGGTGGGAAATTGAGTCCTCTGGCAAGCCGAAGGCTCCAGATCACCTCCTCTACTAAGTAAAGAGCAGGCCCTCCAAAAGAGTGAGGACAGAGGAGCAGGTAGAGTTTTTCTTCTGTCGTTATCGTTATGCATAGAATCCCAGGGAGCCTTCTAGGCCTGAGGGTCAAACAAATATTTGGTTTCTTTAACCTCAAAAAATGTGTTTGCAAAAGACTCACGTTACAAATTAATAGCTAACACCTTAATTCTATCTTATTTCAGACAGACTCAAAAGATTTTTAGAAATATCCTGCTGTTGATTTTTTTTTTTAATGCTTCTAAGAGTTCAGAACTGCTATTATTTCTGTTACAAAGCCAAATTTGAAAGCAAGAGAGTTATGTTTGAAGCCCTGTACTGTGACCTTCACAGCAAGTCTGCCCAACTAGAAAAAGCACATCTGGATATAATTCAAACAGCTAAGCCTTATAACAAAGAGGAATACATCCATCCACATGGTGTGACTGGGTGTCATGTACAGTGGTGTCTGGGCTATAAATATGCAGGCAGCTGATCCAAGTAGAGACTCCTAGTGGACATGGCTTGCAGTTAGTTTCACAAGAACATACTGTTGACGATGAATAAGTAGAAATCACAATGATTTGAAGATGTCAGAGTGTCGCCTTAACAAATTAGGACAATTTACATATAGGGGAAAAAAGTCTCAAAGAAATCAGCCTAGTAGTCTTTATGAGCCTGGAGGAGGACATGGCAACCCACTGCAGGATTCTTGCCTGGAGAACCCCATGGACAGAGGAGCCTGGGAGGTCCTTCGGGTCGCAAAGAGTCAGACACGATGGAAGCAACCTGATGCGCGCACACACGCATGCAAGGCTTTATGACAGATTATACTTTTAGTTGGTTTATTAGTTCTGTATCTTCCCATAGCCCTAAGAATGTGGCTCAGTTGATCCTTGTCAATCTGAATTATTCAAATGGATGGTTAAAGAGATTTGCTGGAAATTGAAGTAAAGAGGAGCCAGTGGTTGCGAGGGGAATACCGTGGGCTGGACTTTGGGTAAGACAGAACTGGATTTGAAGCCCAGCTTTCTAATGTGTAGACTGAGAGAGATTTAAAAAGTTAATTAATCTTTTCTCAGTCATAGCATAGAAACCAGAGCACCTACTTTGCAGAAGCTTAGAAAAGTTAGGAGTCATGTCAGTAACGTCCCCAGCTCAGGGCCTGGCTTAGTAACTTATTGCTCCCTGGAACTACTTCTACTCAGCTGTTACGAGAGGTTCCCCCTGCCCACTTCCACAACCCTCGAGCTGTCCTGTCAACCTGGACAGCCAGGAAAAGGAAGCAGAGAGCTTTGACAGGGGAGCTGTTTCAGAACCCAGGAATAGGATGCAGTATTCTGGCTTTGGTAGCAATGAAACGAGATGTGAGCCAGCTGGACAGAAGCTTGGTGTAGACATAGCTGAGGCACTGGGTCCTAGAAACCAGTCTGAAGAGGTTGAGGGTAAAAGAACAGATCATACAGTGCCTTTCTCATTGGGTTCCTCTGTACACCCACCCCTTATCAAGAGATCTTGCTGATATCAAAGCAGAAGAAAACAGATTAGATGTTGGAAGGCTGCCTTACAGGTCCCAGGGAGGACAGGAGAGTGGACTCCTGCTCTCATATGGGCTGTGGGTCTCCTGTTATAACCGTCTGGAGCAGAAGTCCAAGGCTTTTGCAACAACTTCCTACTGTGTCATGATTTTCCAGGCCTGCCAAATGAACTCTCTGTCTCTCTTCATGTGAGATAAGACGGGGTCCCTTCCTGGAAGCTACTTCCAGGGTAACCATCTCCTTAATTGAGTCTAAATTCCTGGCCCTATCCCAGGTCACAAGCTGTAAGACCAGATTTTAACCAAGGACCTACAGAGCATTCAAATTGCACTGTTTCCCAGTTTCTGCTCTCATGTAGATTTGATACTGATATTACAGGTAAGACATTAAAGGGAATGACTTTAGTAAATGGAAAATTACACAGCCTAGGAAAATTTACTGGGCTGAGATGCTCTTGATAAGCTCTGTGGGGCATAGGGAAGCGTGGTAACAATGAGTAAAGGCTTGCGGGCATAACCAATGCCATGACTAGGATGAATAGGATTGCCTTGAAGACAAAAGGAAAAGAAGGCTCAGCGCCAGGGACAGTCTTTCTGACAGAGCAACCTGCAGGACTTGAGGTCTGTGAAATGCAGCTTTTAGATACACCCAGCCAGTGGACAGCTAAACTCAATCCAGATTGCAGAAATGAGTGATTAGTCAGGCAGCACACCTATTGTGCATGTCAGGCGGTATCTTACTGTCTAAGTGGTCCGAATCGTCCTTTTATTTCTTATTTCTTCCTTTATTTCTTGGGATGTCTAGCCACTAGATGGAGACTTAACAGCTCCTATCTAATACAAAATAACAAAACAGTCGGGCATATGGCTGGCCCTGGGGTGTCTCAGTTGCATTCACATGACATTTCTAATGGGAAGGTTTATGGCGAGTTACGTTCTAAACGAGATGTGTTAATATATGGAAACAGACTGGACCCAGGGCCCAGGCAGATCTGGACAAGGGGCTGCTGACTGTCCTGCCAGCACCGTCCAGCAGGCATCTGGCAGCGGAGCGAGAGCTTTTGGAGGGTGAAGAGCCTTTCAGGGTCATGAGCTGAAATGTTCTGATTGACTGTGAAATGCCTCTTCAAGCGGGGATAGCACTTCCTCTCAGCTCCACAGTTTTCTTGTAATCTGGTCTATTTCTTGTGTTAAGTCTTTGTAAAGCCAAGAGCTGCATACCCTGAGTCTGCTCTGATTATACAACAGCTGTTGGCAAGCGAAGGGGAAGAAGGCATTTTTGTTGCTGGGCCCTTTTGCTTGGAGATGCCTGGCAGCATTTGTTACGGATACTTAGGCAAGAGCAAGAAGGGCCAGTGAGTCCCAAAAGCCTAAGTGTCTATTGCATAACAGGATGAGACACAGATGGGAGGTTTAAAAAATCTGTTTCTACTGTCACCTTGAATGCCAGCAGGAATTTTAGATATCTCCAGTGCCACACAGGACGTACTTACAAAATAATGTACAAAGAGCAGATAAATTAACACCTGTCAGAATCCCTTTAAGTTTATTGTCGCACTGAATCCTCCTCATTTTGTGAGATAAATACCCAGGCACAGAAAGAGTAAGTAACTTCCAGGCTCACCCAACTAGTAAGGGATAACACAGGGATTCCAGTCCAGGCAATCTGACCCTGAAGACCCCACGCTTAACCCATGGAAATATTTTTAGTAAATTCAATAGACTGCTGATAATCCTGGATATTTAGGGAGTGCTGCATAAGTGGGTAGGGAATCTGTGAGCTGGCTGGTCAGCCTGTGCTCCTCTGTTGGGCCGTATGGCAGGACACGGGGCATGAACACGGGGGATTGTCCATGGCTGCGACTGGCACACAGAGACCTGTATGTGCCAGCCCTGGCCCTGGCTTCCGCCTGCACCCTGAGGAGGGTGCCCAAGCTCTTGACTCCTAAGTTTCCAGCACAAAATAGGAAACAGAATATTTACCATCTGTGTTCCCTACTAGCCATTACAAGAATTAACAGTGTAATTTTTTCACATCATTCAAACTTCAGGAAGGAGAATATGGTCCAATAATGAGCTTACAGTTATTGGACACAGTTTTATAGTCTGTATAATTAGGACTAACTACAAGTCAAAATCAACCGTCCAACCTTCATCGAGCATTTATTACTATGATGCATGTTGCTCAATCCCACCAGTTTTAACATGTTGAAGTGTTCATGTGGTTTGCCTAACAGGTTCAAAGAAAAGTTGCTCTACTATTTATGTAATACAGATGGAACTATCATCCATCTCAAGGTGGATGTTTACCCTAGATCTTATCAAGAGTTGGATCCCAAGAAGAAAAAAGAAAAATAATTTCTGTTGCTTGCATTCTCATAGGATGAATTTGTTGAGCAATTATATTTGCTGGGCAAAGCATCACACAAAATAGTTCACAGACAAGGCCCAAGCCTTCAAGGAATTTATACTCATAAATGTTCTTCGGGGCTTCCCTGGTGGTCCAGTGGTTAAGATTCTGCACTTCCACTGCAGGGGGCCCAGATTTGATCCCAGATCGGGGAAGTTCAGCATGACAGTGGTTGGCTTCTATTTTTCAAACAGGCGTTGAAAGGAGACGCATCTATGACATTGTAAACGTGCTGGAGTCGCTGCATCTGGTCAGCCGGGTGGCCAAGAATCAGTACGACTGGCATGGTAGGCACAGCCTGCCCAAAACCCTAAGGAACCTCCAGAGATTAGGAGAAGAGCAGAAATATGAGGAGCAGATGGCACACCTCCAGCAGAAAGAGCTCGACCTGATAGATTATAAATTCGGAGAACGCAGAAGAGATGGCTGTCCCGATTCCCAAGATCCACAGTTACTGGATTTCTCCGAAGCAGACTACCCCTCCTGTGAGTCCCCTGGGCCCACAGCGGTCTCTTCTGAAGATGGGGAGGGCCAGGTGGGCCACCCTGGAGGCATGTGGCCTCTCGGTCTCTCGCATGGAGACGGGCAGACAGATGGCTTCCCAACTGGGCTGCCCACTCCACCTCACGGGAAACCTGTCTAGTGGCAGTTTCACTTGGTGTCTGGCGTGTTTGGATCATAGGTGGCGAGTAGCATTCCAGTTTCAGATTGACAGTCCCACACTGCTGCCTGTTTGTGAGCCCTTAAGGAAAATTTACTTGGAAAGAAGTTCTCTCTTCAAGAGTCTATTTGTTCCATTATATGTTGGAGTGGACAACTTAGAAAAGAACCCAATTTGCAGGAAATGCTGATGAGAAAGACAGACAACCTTTCATTTGATACTGAATTTTTCTTACTTATATTGTATTACATTGTTCTCCCCCCTCCTAGCTGCCGTGTCTGCTGTCCTTCTTTGATCTTTATTCTCACCCTAATCCTCCTTGCTAAGCTGATGAAGTGCAAATGTTCCTTATGTTTCACTTGCAAATATAAGAAATAGATATGGAAGGGTGGGCCTGGCTGTCATTCCATTCACTACCTCATGCCTTTAATTTCACCCTATGAACCAGTCTTTATCCAAATAACCAGAGGAGACAGCCATCTGTCGGGGATGATTTGCTTGTCATCTGTGGGAACACACATCTAAGCAATGTCTCTTGCTTACTTATTGTTTATTTCTTTAACTTATTTCCAGAATGCAATGGAAGAGGTGGGTGCCTCCTATGTGGATGGTGTCTTCGAGCTCTTGTGGGCTCAGAGAAATACAGGTGGAGCTCTTGCCTTTAAGGGAAGAGTTGATGTTCTGAAAGCAGTTCCTGATCCCCGCTCTGTCCTTCCACCCTTCTCCTCTAGTCTTTTCCAAAATTGCTTCATAGATTCTATTCAGTGGAGTATGAGTATAAAGCACTTCAGAATTTATACCAACTATAGAATAATTTTAGGACGCGAAAAAGAATCTATCTTGTTTCTTTATGAACCATCTTTTTGTGATGTGTGGCCAAGCGGTGATCAAAAGTGATCTCTCCATCTGCTAACAGAGTTAGATAGGTCTGGCAAACTCTAAGTACAGTCTTTCTTGTGGTAGATTATATGTTCTGATGCTTTTGTTTCATTCCCTCTGTAGCATCTGCAAACAGTCGGAAAGACAAGTCTCTGAGGATTATGAGCCAGAAGTTTGTCATGCTGTTCCTGGTCTCCAAAACCAAGATAGTTACTCTTGATGTGGCTGCCAAAATACTGATAGAAGAAAGCCAAGATACGCCAGACCATAGTAAATTTAAAAGTAAGCATCTTCACTCAAATCCACTTAGCACAGAAAGGGTGGGGTTTCATCAGTTGATGTTTGCAGCTTTGGAGATTTTTTAGCAAATTATTTTGTTGAGATGTACACTCCTTCTTGCCTTCTTTAAGCTTCTTGGTGCTGTGAGAGGTAAGTTGATCACATCCTAGAACTCCTGTGAAAGTTCTGCCTGATGCCTTTTCCTCAGCAGAGTGGATGCTGGAGGCAGAATGGCGTCCCACAGATGCATGTCAGGGAGGGTGTCAGAGGCTTTGAGTTTCTCTTTAGCATCGCTGCATCCAAGATGGAATGTCTGAGTTTTCTTTCCCTTTTCTCCTCACCCCCCGCATACTCTTCTGATGGGTGGACATGAAAGTTGTCTACAGGTAAGAACCAGAAGAACAGCAGGGGAAGGGGTGGGGGGAGCGGTGGGACATGGATGCTGGACAGGAGAGTGTTTCGAGTTTCACACCCAGAACATCTTCCTTTTCCGCCAGGCCTGGGTCCTGAGCCAGAGACCCTGGCTGCTGGTAGCTCATTCAAGCCCTGGAAACTGTGAATTCAACATTCTCTAGCTTTTGTTTGTTTCCAGCTGGAAGTATAGCCACCCTGTGGGAGAAAGGACTAAATAAAATCCAATTCTATCAGGATTGGGAAGAATACTGCATGTGGGGTGAACTTGAGGTTTCAGGCCGATAACCAGAGCCCTCTGCTTATCCTAGCCCTGAGTTCAAGTGGCTCTCCTCCCTGCAAGTTGACTTCTTGGGTAGAGCTTACTTTGTGGGCATCATCCTGCCTGCCTCATGTGTTACCACCCACCCCTCTGAAATCCTCCTCCAGTGTATGTGTTTTCAAATGTCTCTCCCTGAACCTCTCAGACCCAGGGCGTGCCCACCCAGCCCTCCCCCACTGGGTGTCCGCCAGGGCGAGAGGAGAGACGCTGACTGTCTTCAGCACAGTCATACCGCGTGACCTCAAGCCCTGGACAGCCTGTGTGCCGACAGTGCAGCCTCGCCAGGAGCTCCAGGGAGCCCCTGTCACTGTCACAGCCCAGCTGCCTGGGAGAGCGGGTAGCCCCGTCTCCTGCAGGGAGAGACTCCAGGCAAGTTTCTGACAAGCCACAGATCAGAATGACATTTCCTAAAGCCTTTAATTACAGCCCATTTGCCTCCCTCAGTGTTTTTGCAATCACAGTGATCCCAGCCTGTTACCAGGTGCCTCTGGTAGGAAGCGTGAAGCTGTGAAAGCAGAAGGACACCCTGACCTTCACTGAGTGGGGTGATCAGACGCTGAAATCCTAAGTGATTTCACGTGGGAGCCACTGGCCTCTCATGATACCCCACTGCTCTCTGCTGGAGGCTGCTTTGGTGGCTGAGAAAGTGACCGGTCACACAAACTAAGGTAGTGATGTCCTGGACCAAGGTATGGTGTGACCGCAGCTGTTTTTTATGTCTTCAAGCAAAGGTACGACGCCTCTATGACATAGCCAATGTGCTGACCAGCTTGGCGCTGATAAAGAAAGTGCATGTCACGGAAGATCGAGGCCGGAAACCTGCCTTCAAGTGGATCGGCCCTGTGGATTTCAGTTCCACAGGTAAGGCATGGTGTTGCTCCAGACCATCTCATGCATAATCCCCAGTTGCTGTTTTGAAGCATACACCTACCACATGGTGAGACTGATCTTCACCTTCATCTCCCATCACCCACGTCACATTCAAAATTAGACTTATGCCGCCAGCCTGGGAACAGTGAGCCTTAGTCTACAAGTGGTTATGCTGGCAGCTCACACACAGAGAGCTTAGAACCTGGCAGTTTCTGAAACTATTAAATTACAGCTCATTGGCTTTTTTTTAATTTCATTTCAAAGTTCCTGGAAGTTTGGGCCTGAGGATTAAAAATAATGCTTCATTTTAACAAGTTTTTGGGTTTTTTTTAAATTTTAAAAATGATGCTTCTTATGAACTCTGGTTGTTTCTGCATTAACAAAATAAAACATTGTTTTTCTTTGAAATTCCAGATAATGTAAAAATTATATCAGTTACTGTCACAAAACTCATAGTTGGTAAGATGACACCTAAACATAGTATGGCTGTAATGAACACCTTTTCTGTAATTTATTTAAAACGTCGCAAGTGTCATAATTTTACTCAATTAGAGCAAAAGAGGGTATTATCTTCTACCTATTTTACAGGTAGTATTTGTGCAACTGGGGACTGGATCTTTCTGCACCAGCTACTTATGTATAGCTATACTGCCTGGAAAAAAGCCATTAAAGTTATTTTTAAATTGCCCTTCCAATGTTAGTCTTATGAGTATAAATTCCTGCACTTAACCCAGGCTTATAAAAGATATAGCTCTCTACCTCACTTTGTAACACATTATTCACTTAGAAACTAGATGAAGCCACTTATAACCAAGTATAATTAATTCAGCAAGTACTTACTGCGTGTGAACTATGCAGGCAAAGTTCATTTTATTGCACTGAGCAGGTAATGCATTTTTCACAAATTGAACATTTGTGGCAACTGTGTGTTATCAGGTGATACTTAGTATTTTTTAGCAGTGATGTATTTTTTAACTTAGGTATGTACAGTATTTAGATATGATGCTATTGCACAATGCAATATAGCATAAACCTAGCTTTTATATGCTAGGAAAAACAAATTCATGTGACTTGTCTTATTGCAGTGGCCTAGAACCAAACCCACAATATCTCTGAGCATGGCATTACTAATGCCAAGGAAAACTCAGAGACTTTATGATACAGTCCCTGCCAGTATGAAATGTACAACTTTGCCACTTTCTACTCCTGTTTTTGGCTTATCCTTGGGTTTTTACCAGTGAAGCTCCCTTCCCTATTTCAACATAAAATATTCTACTCAGCCTTCAATCTGGCTCAAATGTCAGCTCTTTCATGAAGTTTTCCCCAATCACTTCTTGCTTCAGAACAAGAAGTGTCTCATCTGAATGGTTGTAATTTAGTATCTTAACATTATACCTGGGGATGATAGCATGGTATTGTCCCTGCTGTATACATTTGAGGCAGATACAGTTTTTATTCACCTTTGATTAAACCCTAGCATCCAGACCAGTGCCTTATGTACTTCAGTTGGTTAATGAGCTTTACTGAAGGTGTATAATTAATATACCTTTGAAAATCAGAGAATTCTTAAGCACTGCATATGATAGTACTGGCTCTGTTGGATTAAGTTCTGATGGACTGTTAGGTTTTGGAGGGATGGAGAGCTTTTTTTTTTTAGTTGAAGGGAACAGATACCTAAGAACATCTCTGGCTTGTGTCAGAGAACTCAGGCATCCTGACTTAAGTGGAGGACCTAGGACAGGAATAATGAGAAGTAAGACGTGATCATTTGGGACCACATTTTGGAAAGCCTCAAAAGTTAGGCCAAGAAATCTGTACTAGTGGGTAGAAGTGACAGGGATCTTTAGATAGATTAAAAGAGAGGAGGGATTCAAAGTTGGTGGTGTCACTGAGGAAAATAAGATAGCCAGAGAAATGAGCTGATGTTGAGAAGTCGAGGAGTTTGTAGATTTATGTAACCAGTGGGTCAGCCCCTGGGAGCGCTCTGATCTGTCATGGTAGAGAGGACTTGGCACTAGGTCAGGAACCTCAAATTGAACTTTCTTCCTCTATCCTTCAGAAACCTGGGCCTCCTTCTGTATGCCCTATTCCCATTACTGACAGCACCTTTGTCATGAGCCCAACAATTAAATTTGGAACATCAAGTTACCTTTGATTTCGTAATTCACTCCCCTTCACTCCTCAATTAGCAATTCACCTCTTTACTCTTTTCCTCCCCCACCATCAGGACCTTCCTTCCTTTTAACAGCTTTATTGAGGTATCATGACATTCAATAAACAGCACCGTGGTTAAAGTTATAGTTTGGTAAGTTCTGCATTGTACGCCTCAGTGAAATAATCACTGCAACCAAAGCAGTTAACCCATCACCCTCCAAAGCCTCCTTCTGTTCCTTTGAATACCTCCCTCCCTTTCCCCACTCCCAGCAACCAGTGATCTGCTTTCCTTCACTCGAGACGTGTTTGTATCTTCTAAAATGTTTAATAAATGAATCACACACAGTCAGTGCTTATTTTTGGCAGTTTCCGTATTTGCGAATTTACCAACTCCCTAAAGTTTATTTGAAACTCCAGAATCAACACACACAGCACTTTCCGAGTCGTTCACAGATCGCAGAGGAGCACAGGATTTTATTTGCCATTGCGTGTGTTCCCAGCTGAGGTCAGAACAAGGCAGCCCTCTGCCTTCTTGTTTCCCACACTTGTTTCTTTTGACTCATACTGTAAACAAGCATCCTTTTCATGGTCTTTTCAGTGCCACGTTTTCACGTGTCTGTGGTTTGTGTTGGTGATCTTGCTGTTTAAAATTGTTCCCAAGGGTCATACTGAAACGCTGTGTAGTGTTTCTGAGTGCACGAAGGCTGTGCTGTATCTTACAGAGAAAATACACGCGTTGGAGGAACTTAGTTCTGGCCTGAGTTCCAGTGATTTTGACTGAGTGCAGTGCTAATGGATCAACAAGGTGTTCTAAACGTGTCTTAAACAGGCTCATGAAACAGGGTTATGTACTGATCAGTTTATAAACATGTTTTGACCAGAGACTTGCAGAAAACTAACCCTGTATTTCCTTTGGGAATGATGGTTCAGTATTAACTAATTCAGTGTTCACAGTAACTTTATAGAACTTTACCACAAATAACGACAATCGGCTGTAGTGTGCATACTCTTTTTATCTGACTTCTTTCATTCAGCATAATTATTTTGGGATTAATTGTGTGGTAGTATGTATCGATGGTATATTCCTTTTTATTGCTGAGTATTCATTGTATGGATATACTGTTCTTTATTCATGCACCTAATAGCGGACTTTTGAATTATTTTCAATTTAGAGCTATTACAAACAGAGCTGACGCTTTAGAAAAGACCCTGATGCTGGGAAAGATGGAGGGTGGGAGGAGAAGGTGATGACAGAGGATGAGATGGTTGGATGGCATCAGTGACTCAGTGGACATGAATTTGAGCAAACTCCAGGAGATAGTCAAGGATAGGGAAGCCTGGCGTGCTGCAGTTTGTGGGCGGCAGAGTCAGACATGACTGACTAAACAACAAGCAGAGCTGCAGTGGATATTCATGTATATGTCTTATATGGAAACATGCTTTCATTTCTCTTGATTAACATCTAGGAGTGGAATAGGTGCATCACACGATAGGTGGATGTTTAAGTTTTTGAGAAACTTCCAAGCTGTTTTCCAAAGTAGCTGTGACATTTTACATTCCCACCAGTGGTATATGAGAGTTCTGGGTCAGCCTTAGTTGTAGCTGTTCCAATAGGGGTGTAGAGGCATCACTGTTGTCTTACTTCGTGTTTCCCCCGTGGTGTTCAGTCCAGCCATCTGGTATCATTTGTCTTCTGTTTGATGGGCTTTCTTTAACATTTCTTAGAGTGCAGGTTAGCCAATGGTGAAATCTTCCAGTTGTTGTATGTCTGAGAACATCTTTATTTCACCTATGTTTTTGAAAAATATTTTCCTTGGGTAAGGATTCTAGGTTGGAGGGTTTTTTTCCTTTTGGTACTTTAAAGAACTGGTTCCACTGTCTTCAGGCTTGCATTGTTTCTGACAAGAAATCTACCGTCATCCTGTTCTTCCACATGTAATGTGTCTTCTTTTTTCTTGGTTACTTTTAATATTTTCTTTATGACTGGTTTTAAACAATTTGATTATGTGTGCATTGTTACAGTTTTCTCAGTATCTCTTACTTTGATTTGTTGAGCTTCTTGGATCCATGGATTTAAAGTTTTCATCAAGTTTGGTAAATTTCTTGTCATCATTTCTTCTTTCCCCTCTGTCCTTTGGCAACTCTAGTTATACTCATTTTTGGCTGTTTGAAGTGGTCCTACAGTTCACTGATGTTTTGTTCCTTTCTTTGTCTCTTTTCTGTCACTTTGGATAGTGTTTATTGCTCTTTCTTTAAGTTCACAATTTTTTTTCTGCAGGCATGAATTTTTTTCTAAGCTGCCATGCATTTCACCCATGGTATTTTTCCATCTTCAACATTGTAGTTTTAATTGCTAGAAGTTTGACTTGAGCCTTTATAAATTTTTTAAGGTGTTTTACTTTTTGGCTGTGCTGGGTCTTCGTTACAGTGCACAGGCTTCTCATTGCGATGGCCTCTTGTTGCAGAACACGGGCTCTAGGGTACGCGGGCTCTAGGGTACACGGGCTCTAGGGTACGCGGGCTTAGTAGCTGTGGCACACCGGCTTAGCTGCTTTGTGGCCTGTGGGAGCTTCCCAGACCAGGGCTCTAACCAGTGTCCCTTGCATTGCAAGGTGGGATTTTTAACCACTGGACCACCAGGGGATCCTGGGCCTTTATAGCTTTGATGTTTCCACTTAACATGTTCAATTTCTTGAATTTGTGGAATACAATTATAATATCTATTTTAATGTGCTTGTCTACTAACTCTATCATCTATGTCACTTTGAGGTCCATTTCAACTAATTTTTTCTGCTCATTGTGGGTTATATTTCCCTGCTTCTTTGTGTATAACGTAATTTTTAACTGTATGCCATGCATGTGTGCTAAGTTGCTTCAGTCGTGTCCAACTCTTCGCATCCCTATGGACTGCACCTGCTAGGCGTCTCTGTGCATGGGATTCTCTAAGCAAGAAGACATGCCCTCCTCCAGAGGATCTTCCCAACCCCAGGATGGAACATGCATCTTTTATGTCTCCTGCATTGGCAGATTACCCTAGAGCCACCTAGGAAGCCCAATTGTATGCCATTATATGTACACTGAGAATTATAAATTGTTATGTGCTAAATAATTCTCTGTTCCTAAAAATGTTCTTGAGCTTTGTTCTCTGATACAGCAAAGTTACTTGGAAACAGTTATCCTTTCAGCTCTTGCTTTTAAGCTTTGTTAGGCAGAAACCCCCCCCCCCCCATCTGCAATTAGTCTTGAGTATACCGTCCCCTCTACTGAGGCAATACCCTCTTTAGCATTCTAACCAAAGACCATGAAGTATGAGATTTTTTTTTCCCCACTGTGACTATTGGCAGTCAGCACTATTCTCAGCCCTGTCTGAGTGCAGACACTGTTCTGTCTACTCCTTTTGAGGGCTCTTTCCTTGGCCTTGGGTAGTTTCCACTCATGGATGAGTACTCCACTGAATATAGTCAGCCCTTTGAGTCTGCAGGTTCCACATCTGTAGAGTCAACCAATGCTGGATTGAAAGTATTTTTTTTTTAAATACAGAACGTTCCAGAAATCAAAACTCAAAATTTGCTGCACACTGACAGCTACTGAGATAGCATTTACATTGTATTAGGTACTGTAGTAGGAGAAGGCAATGGCAACCCACCCCAGTGGTCTTGCCTGGAGAGTCCCGGGGACCGGGGAGCCTGGCGGGCTGCCGTCTCTGGGGTCGCACAGACTCGGACACGACTGAAGCGACTTAGCAGCAGCAGCAGGCACTACAGTACTCTCGAGATGATTTGGTGTGCAGTGCCTACAAAATTTACTCCACTATCTACACAGGATTAAATCTATGCCATTTCATATAGGAGTCTTGAGCATCTCAGGTGAGATGTGGGGACTTGAAACGGATCTCCTGTGACTGCTGAAAGGCAGCTCTCCTCAAGGGGGGACCCTCTGCAGACCTCCAGCATTCCTTCTGTATGGCTGTGCTCTTCAGGACCCTGCCCCACAGACGCTAGCTGCCCTGACTTTCCAGGTCTCCCAGCTCCATTCCCAATTGAAGGAGACTTCCAGGCTCTGCCTGGAGCTCCTTCTCTGCCCCTAACCTGGAAGTGTTATCCAGGCAGTAAGCTGGGCTAATCAGAGCTTCCCTCTCTTCAATTCCTGTCTCCAGTGTTTCACTGTGCTTCATGTCCTAGTGTCCAGTATCTTGAGAACCATTGTTTTATATACTTAGTTCAGTATTTTATTTCTTTCAGGAAGGAGGGTAAATAATACTGTCTTGACCCACTTTCTTCTTTCTTCTAGTTGATTCTATAACTTCTTATTTTCTAAAGAGAATTTGTTGGGTTTTTATTATAAGAAAAAGAAAACCGTAGGTGGTTTTCTTTTTCAGTTTTTCTATATTTTAGAAAATGTAAGTCTGGCTGGGCCTTTCAGTTTATTAAATCAGTCTTATAATTAAAATGTGCATCCCTTGAACTTAAAAAAAATAGCACAGATGAGCAGGGTAAGAATGACTATCTGAACAATGTGTTTCTTTATAGAACATAGACCTGGTTCTATATAGAGATTTCTGTCCTGATTTCACACAGGCTTATTTAAGCATAAAATTGGCCTCAGGCCCAGTCTTCTATTACCCTCACTGTTCCGCAGCATTTCAACCATGAGGTGTCTGCTGACCTTATGTCTTTGGTCACTTAGTAACTGAGCTTCCTGCTGCATAAGAAAGAAATAATAAAGCATAATAATAGGAAACAGAGATTCTTATACTCATTGCCCTGGGACTGTGGCATAAGAGGCCGATTGCAATTAATGTTAAAATCTCCAAATATTCATGTTGGGCTGAGTATGATTGGGTTTTCCTTTGATATCTCTGCCCAAAGAAAGCATCTGAAATGTCAGGTCCATTCTAATTTGGGTTATAGAACATCCTGCTCTACTTTTGTTGCAGTTTAGATAATTTTAGAATATATATGGATTCGGTCTTTAAAGTTACTAACTTTTTGAAAAGGTTAGTACACTGAAAGAAATTGGGGTTTGACAGATCACCAGCCCAGGTTGGGTGCATGAGACAAGTGCTCGGGCCTGGTGCACTGAGAAGACCCAGAGGGATCGGGTGGAGAGGGAGGTGGGAGGGGGGACCGGGATGGGGAATACATGTAAATCCATGGCTAATTCATTTCAATGTATGACAAAAACCACTGCAATGATGTAAAGTAATTAGCCTCCAACTAATAAAAATAAATGAAGAAAAAAAAAAAAAAGACTGAAAAAAAAAAAGAAATTGGGGTTTGAGATAAGGCTCATGAAATTCCTTTGTCTTCGTTTTTAATTTATAGGTAGCTCCATTACAATGAGAGGTTCTCAAAGCCCTATCTTAAAAAGGCTAAAATTATCCTGAATTATAGCTATATAACAACACTATAACATCTATATAACAACACTAACACTATAACAACATCTCTTTTTTATTTAGATGACGATCTCATGGATGTTTCTACACCTGTCCTACCAGAATTGAAAAAAGAAATATACGGCCACATTCAGTTCTGTGCAAAACAGAAACTTGCTCGACACGGCTCTTTTAACTCAGAGCAGGCTTCTGAGAGGATACAGAGGAAAGTGAACTCAGAACCCAGCAGCCCTTACAGACAAAAACAAGGTATCTGCCTTTACTTAACCCACGGACTCTATCAGTCACCATGTAATGGTAGCCCGACCTGTGCACTGACGTTTTAAAGTGAGCTGACTGTAGGCTCTGCGTGAGATGGTGACTTCACAGGGTGGCCCTCGGCCTGAAATTGATTCTCGTTGGCCTTGAAGATTGAAGATTACTTGGTTTGCCATGGTTAACCTGTTTGATGCATCTCAGCAATTCATCAGATTTATAAAGCAATACTTGCTTTGTTTTGTTTTCTTACTAATTTTTAATGAGACCTACATTCACCTCTTAGAGCTAGCTTCTGGACATGTCTGTCTCTGAATCAAAATCAGGATGGATTTGAGGTAGTCTTATAATCCTTGAGCTGTGAATAGTGAATCCTGCTGTATATAACTGCTGTGTATAAGTCCCTTGCTCTATTTGTTAGAACTTTGTTTTCCTTTTTAGGATCAGGAGTCTACTCCTTGGAAATTGGAAGTCTGGCAGCTGTCTACAGACAGAAAATAGAAGACAACTCAAAGTAAGTAGTCTCCATCCTGGTTTTAACTGTGACTCAATTGAAATGCCACCCATCAAGGGTAAAGTTTAGCAGTCCTGCTCAAAAATCAGCCATTTGTTTATTAAGAACTTTGTAAGTTTCCCCCCTTGTGCCCAACACTGTGCAGGATTTGGCATCTGGGACCCAAAAATTGAAAATTTTTGTGAAAAATTTATCCCATAGGCTATGAAAACTTACCAGGAAAAATAAATAAAAAGACAAATACACTGAGAAAAGACAAGTCACTACTAATGTGACAGAGAAATGATGTATCATAGTCCCATGAATCACTTTGTCATTATCCTAACTAACGTCATTTATGAACTACCGGGTACTATTCTTAAAAGGTTTGTGTGTATTATCTCATCCAATTATACAACCTTTTGAGGTTGGTGCTATTATCCTAATTTTACAGGGAGGCAGCCGAAATCCTGAGAGGTTAAGTAACTCGCCCAAAGTCACAAAGTTATTAAGTGAAAGAACTGAGATTTAAACCTACACTATCTGAATCAGATTTGGGGTTTGATTTTGAAGGAAATCACACATTAGCAGAGGAAACAGAGGAAATGCTGAAGAGAGAACAGAAGAGGTTTATAATGACAGACAAGGGAAGAAAAAGACTGTTGAGCCAGAGTCAGGGAGTGGATAGGAAGTCAGCCATAGTGATTTGTCCAAATAAGATAGAGGAAGAGCTTGGGGTATTGGAGGTGGGTAGGTCAAGTTGGCAGAATGCTTTGAAAGCCAAGTCGTAGAGTTTAGACTTACCAGATGGACACTAAAAGGTTATTGTAGCTTCACTGGAGACCATTCAGGCTGCTTTGAGCAGGTAGGGTTGGAATTAGAGCAGGACTGCATGTTAGGAGATCACAGAATAGTGCATTCCCTTCTTTCTGCTCAGCTGTGGTGCGGGTCCACACCGTCAGCTGGCGACGGGAAGAAATGGAAACCGGCATAAGACAGTGAGTCAGCAAGAGTTAATTTGAACGTGTGCTGTGCTGTGCGTAGTCACTCTGTCGTGTCTGACTCTGTGTGACCCCGTGGACTGTAGCCCGCCAGACGCCTCTGTCCATGGGGATTCTCCAGGCAACAGTACTGGAGTGGGTTGCCATGCCCTCCTCCAGGGGATCTTCCCAACCCAGGGATCAAACCCAGGTCCCTCATTGCAGGAGGATTCTTTACCATGTGAGCCACCAGGGAAACCCAAGAATACTTGAGTGGGTAGCCTATCCCTTCTGCAGCGGAGCTTCCCGACCCAGGAATCGGGGTCTCCTGCATTGCAGGCAGATTCTTTAGCAGCTGAGCTACCCAGGAAGCCCAGTTTGAATGTGTGCTGCTTGAAAATTCTGTAGTAATACAGAGTGGAATGGGAGAACAACAGAGAATAATTTTGTAAATACATTTACTTCCTCGCTCATCGCTTACTTCATTCATCTCACAGTGAACGTGAGAAAAACAAGATGTGCCCTTTAAATCGCGTGTGGCCTCGTCTCTGTTATCTGCCGGACACCTCTCAGGGATTCCGTGTGCAGCCCCCACTGGGTGACCTTCCATAGTTAGATGAGCCTCTGGGCTTGTGTTCCTCCCTCGTAGTGGGGGAGGGGGCTGAGAGTAGCTCGTGTTAAAGAATGATGTAAAACTATTACCATACCCTGCTGCTCATGATAGCATCTGTGTGCCTGGGAAGGGGTACTTGCTGGGCAGCTGATGACTACTGGCTGTGGGAGAGGCCGAGAGGAGCCTCTGAGAGCCCCAAACTGAGAGCCCCTATCTTGTTGCAAAGCATCCATCCAGGTTATAATATGTGGTCGTCTGCTTGTGGGGTTGGCTCATGATCTCAGGGAGCCCATGATATTAAAGGAGCCCTTTAATAGCAGGAGTGGGGGATTTCCCTGGTGGTCTAGTGGTTGAGAGTGTGCCTTGCGTTGCAGAGGACAAGGGTTCAATCCCTAGTGGGGAACTAAGATCCCACTGAGATCTTACATGTTAGGGAGCAACTAAACCTGCAAATCACAGCCTGGAGAGCCTGCAACTAAGATCCAATGCAGCCAAATTAATTTAAAAAAAAAAAAAAAAGTTTTTTTTTTTAAGTAGGAGGAGAGAGCAGTGTTCCTCAGTCCTGCTTTGGCTCCGCTCTCTTTAGGAAAGCGGAGCTGGAGGTCGGGAGACTGTGGTAACTGCATGGCCCCGCTCTGTTCCCTTCCTTACAGGGCGGAAGCTTTTGCCAGTCAGAGCGCGATGCCTCCATCAAGCAGCCTGGACCCCGCGGCTCCTCTCCCCAGCCTGTGTGTTGACTC